GGGGTAGGGTGGGGGGTTTAGGGGGTGGGTTAGGGGGGTAGGAACCGTCAATTTTGCGAACAGAACACCGGAGGTGCCCCAAAATGCCCGTGGCACCGGAGTGGCACCGTACTCCGGTGTCACTAGAACCTCACCGTTAAATAAAATTAATACTCCCTCCGTCCTCCTGTATTTGTCCACATTTGACTTTTGGAACTGTTCATCTAAGCACTTTGACTCATCAAATTCTCTCAACGTGTAAGCCTAAATATAGTCATGTGTGATCTTGTTTGATTTGTCTTAACATATAGATTATTAATATACTCCCTCTGTCTCATTTTAAATTGCCTGTTTGCCTTTTTTCTCCGTCCCAAAATAAGTAGTCTGTTAGTTGTTTCCGTAAACTTTTAAAAGTAAAATACCTAAACTACTCCTAAAATAAGTCACGCTTTTTCACCTTATCTTCTCATTCATCGTCACCCCTTCTAAAAAGTAATGACAATTTCAAAAAATCAACTATATTTTTTTATTTTCTTTAAATATGCTCAAAAGTCAAAACATGCAATTTAAATTGGGACGGAGGGAGTATAATTTTTATAATTTTTTAATATACAAATTACACGATAAAATGGATTAAAGAAGTGCATTGGATGGTGTGTAAAAATGAAAGTGGACAAATACAGGGGGACGGAGGGAGTATTAGACATGAATACAAAAACAAATTCTTTATATTTGTTTTATAAAGGTATTTTCAAAATAGTATTTTATGTAATTAATATACGATATATTTTCATTTAGTTATAAGTCAAAACTTAAAAGTAATTAATTGTAAAAACTTAAAACTTGACAAATATTCAGGACCAAAGTAGTTTTTTACTTCACTTCCTTGCTCCCAACCATTTTTGTACACTTTCCCTTTTTGGTTAAGTTTTAAAAAATTTAACCACTACCTTCCAGTTTTGACTTTATGCAGCCAACCATTTTTCGACCTTTAACCTATGATTAAGAACTATTTATAAAGTATGTTAATTAAATAAAAAATTTTTTTGAAAATATGATATAAAACAAATCTGATATTTCGTAATATTATTTTTGTATCAATATCTAATATCAATTTTATTTAATTAGTGGTCAAAGTTCATCAATAAATTTTGACTGTAAAAATTCAAAAATAGACAAATACTCAGGGACAGAGAGATTATAAATTATAAAAAAAATTAGTTATTAAATAAATTTTATGTGATTGAGTTCATTTTAAAATATCATTTACTATAATATTTGAGACTCATGTCTCTAAGATATTGGCATATGTCATCTTACATGGCAAATTTTAAACATGGCAAATTTTTAATATTTTGTATTCCACATTTCATTTTTCATATTCTTAAATTTTAATATTTTGTATTCCGCACCACCAAAAGTATAGCAAGTCTCAAGTTATGATCGATCGAGTGGGGAACATTTTGAAAAGGTCTTGAAGAAGGTGATTTGACCACAATGTAAGCTCAAAAAGAATTTGAGTTAGAAACTATTCGAATAGGGAGTTCATTAATGATATGTTTGGAAACATAGATTTGAATTTCAAATCTAGATTTGGCTCAAATTACATGTTTGGGAAACTTAAACATTTTGAATTTGGATTTGAGTCAAATTCTTTTCATTCATAACAAAGCTTAATTTAAAATCCATGCACCTCCCCTTGTCATTTGAAATTTAAGATTTCAAATTTTGGAATTGAAATGCAAGAATTGAAATGAAATGCTAGTCGCCAAACACTACCTAATTACATTAGAAAAGGCTTCTGAATGAATTGACCAATAAAATCTACTTGGAAAGTTTACAGGAGGATAATTAGGCAGACATGGACCTTGCAAGTTTAATTTGGGACGAAGGGTGTATAAAATAAAAATAACAAGAGTATATTGATTTATCAAATAATCAATTAAAAATGTAAAATAAACAAAAATTTCCATGAATTTAGAATAGTGAAATGTTTGTGTCACGCAAATTTTTGTGTAATTAAAATAATTTTAAAAAGAGTCATCTCAATATTAAGCAAAGTCTTATTTGGCTTATGTGAAAGATTCACCATAGACTAAGTCCACGCAAGAAATTGCCCAACTTATTAACCTAAAAGGTCTTGGTTAGTGTACTACTCCATCCCAAAAAGCATTTAGAAGTGAGTTCGGAATATCAAAAATATAAACGTGAATCAAAATCGATCAAACCACGCTATAAAAGAATCCAACCAAAAAAAATAAAAACCGAATGCGAAAACTCGAACCATTATCGTTTGATTTTGGTTTCAATTATCAATCTGGGAAATCAAGCTGAATAGAATAAGCAAAATTTCCAAACCTGAAATGATCAACCAACCGCTCACATATGGAGGTGGAAGTTTATCCATTTCGCAGCAAAAGGAATTGAGCTTAATTTGCTTTACAAATTTGGAGTCACACTTGCAGTGTCGTCCTAAGCTTTTGTTTTACAAAGTTGAAACTTCTTATACCCTAAAAAACCACAGTATTGACAAAAGGCCATTGTCCTCCACATTAACAGGTTCAAACTGAGTCTTCCACTATATTCGTTGTAAAAGTCGATCCCTAGCCTCTCCCTTCTCCCGCTACTATGGTCTTACAAGCTCTCCCAGCCTAATTACTAACAATTAATATGTTAGTAACAATTAATATGTTCATTACTTTTATGATATTCCATACACCTAATAGCTCCAATAGCCACATTTTTCTCATTTTCTTTTTCATATACCATAAATTATGAGAAAACCAAATGAATGTTAACTGATAATCACCAATCCCCTCGGTCCATCTTCCTATTGTCTCCACTGATTGCTAATACAGGTGCCTCGGGTTTCATCAGTTTGGTGAACTGTGAGGAACAACAGGAAGGTTTAGAAATATGTATTCTAAAAGATCATCGAAAGGTGAACGTTGAAACTTGAAATTGTTTCCAGGTGTCATAGAGAAGACTGGAATGGAAACCTGTGACGTCTTCAGCTCTAGTTCATCCCATTCTGAAGATGAATTGCTGCCTTTTACTATCCCTGTACCAGCATATATCAATGCACCACGACCCTGATATTTCAAGGAAACCAACAGATGTTCATATGCAACATTTTAAAAATCACCTACGTAGGGATTCTTTAAACAAAGATAAATGGAAGCAGACTGCAATTGTATTACTTCCTCTTCGCAATAAGATATCTTTTTTTTAGAAACCGCACCCTCCGTCCAAAAGAATAAATTAAGTTTTAAAATTTATGTTTTTCATTAAAACAAATGTATCCCAAAACCAGCAAAAAAAATTTTTTTAAAAATATATTTGATAATTTCCAATAGTTTGACTCTACTAAAATTTGTTTTGGACGGGTAGAGGAGTAGAGCTAGACTTAAGAAGAGATGGAGGGAAGTGATTAGACATAGCTTACGACTTCATGAGCTATTCAAGGTCAGAATAGGACCTTAGATAGGAGTGCTTGGAGGTATAGGATTATGGTTTAAGAGTAGGCTTTTGGGTATTGCTCTAGTGACTCTACCCTAATGACCATACTTCGTGGTATCTATGTGTGAGCTTGCTTCTTTTGTGCTCTTTTTTTCCTTTACGCGATTTTTCTTGTGTTCCTTTTGGTTTGCGCAATGAGTCTCTTGAAAACAATCTCTCTTTGTCCTACACTCCTACACAGGGGTAAGGTGTGTGTACGCTCACCCTCCCAAGACCCCATGTGAGATTTTATTGTGTTTGCTGTTGAACCCTACTAAGTTTTAAAAGTTCTGCCATTGGGAAACATGACTTTTTTTATGCGATAGGGGGAGGGGGGGGGGAGTGTTAAACTTGAATCACAAAGATGCTGAACCATGTGTTTGCAAAACTTGTTTCACCTCACACGTTTCTACAATGCAGACTAATTAAAAGAAAGATAAAAATACTAGAGCTATAGGCTGTAATGCATACCTTTCCAACTAAAGCTGATCGGATTCCAACTGCAAATTCACTTTCTTCCCCTCCAAACCAACCAACAGGACCAGCATACATTCCTCGATCAAACATTTCTCCAGAAATATGAGAGGTTAGTATTGGGCAACAAAAGCTGGCACACAATGGAAGCTTGCAAAGAATTTAAGTTTCCTTTATTGTGATTTAACACCACAAATAACCAATTGACTGATTTGACTCCCTTTTTCTATGGTATTGACTAGAGCAGATCTTATAACCTATCATTTCTCACGTAGACCTATATAAATGGATTATATGCCTGAACCAAACAAACTGTGCAGCTCTGGTTGCAAATTATCGAGCATATTAGTTACAACTTGTTGAGCTCATTTTTGAGCTAAAGGAGCTTTGAATCCGAATACATGATGAATTTAAACATTGAATATTTCATCCGACCAACCTCAAGCTTATTAGTGTATGGTTTTAGTATTTTTCAAACCTATGGAGCACCTAAAAGGTATAGGGGTAAATTGGATATATATGTAGATTTGAAAGACTTTAGTTTAATTTTCAAGTTCTGAATATGATTGCTAATGGACAATTTTGAACACACCAATTGCTGCCCACAAACTAATATTCTAACTTCAAGCATATACGTCACACAATATAGAATGCAACATCAGTAATCAATATAACCTTTGAGCATGTCTGCTCAGAACTTAAAATTTTAAAATTATTAACTCTAGCAATTGCATTGAACATTGAAGATCTGTCTAGCCGAATCCGAGCAAATTTTAAGCTCATTGGGCTTGAACATGCACATCATTATAACTGACTCAAGCCGAACTCAAGCTGCAAATGAGTTTGCGGCATAGTTGTCACGGCATAACCTAGGCGTGCTGGCACCCTTTTCTTTTCATCATGGTAGCTCGCCTCGCCTAATTTCCCCTTCCCCTAGGAGTTCATAGTCAGAAAACTTGGCGTCCAGGCACAGTGCCAGAGGGCTAGTCGCCAAGTATTTAGAAAGATGCTGTTTTAGTTTTAAATAAATTGCAAGTCAGTACACTCAACTAAATTAAAAACCCTACTTCTAACAGTCTTGGTACACTCGTCACGCTCCTTTTTGCCGCCGCCTGAAGAGCTCTCTACTCTTTCAGGACTCGTCAATCACCTATCACATGTAAGTCCCTCTCACTTTCTCTATCCGGATCGAACGCATAAACCATATTCTCAATCTTGAGTGCGTTTTTAAAATGCTTTAGACTCAGTAATCGCATATACTTCCTTTCAAAAAAAGTAATCGCATATACTATGTATTATATTCTTAGTACTCCGTTATTTTTTAAATGCTTTATACTGATATAGTGAGTGAAGTAGCTTTTTATCCATACAATCAAATCAGTGCCTTAAATTTCTGTTTTTTTTCAGTGCCTTAATTTTCTGTTTCTTGCTTTATAATTACAGTAACTTATTTCTATTGTAATGATTTTTTTCCAATTGCTCTTCATAGAACAGTGAATCTAAAACTAAAAGATTTTGTTTTTTTGCTGCAGTGCTTTATTATTTTTTGAAAATGTTTTATAATTAAATATTTTATATTTTGTATTTTGCAATCCATTTTTCATATTCTTGTGTGTTTATATTATTTTTTAAAATATGTGTATTTGAATAGGTTTGGACTTTGGAGAGTACACTTTGTCTAATTTGAAATTTAAACTGTCTAATTTGAAATTTAAACTTTATCAACTACCACATATGATGTCATATATCTATATAAGTGTTATTAATGTATAGCATTCCTCATATACTACTTGCCGCCTAATCGTCACCTCGGCGCCTAGCCGTCATGGCCGTACACTGGCACCGCAACTCACCTTGGCGCCGTGACAACTATGGTTCGTGATTTGAAGGCGATCATCACTTATCAAATGTAAGGGTTAAAAAATTGCAAAAACTAATGTTTTGAATGATATACAGAGCATTATACGTTCTCTTAATTAAATCTCAAAAGGTTGTTATGCACTTACGCAGCAAACAATATTTCAGTAGGTTAGGCACTGTGTAAACAACAATCAAATCTTAATTCCAAATCACTGATGTCGGCTAACTAGCTCCTAGTACCTACTGAATCTTAATTTCAGTAGTATTACATTTTTTTTACCAAGGGTTGTGACAGGCATAATTACTGAAGATAAAAGTGGAGTCAGCATAAAGCAATAGGCACCTACCAGTTTCTGCTATTAAAACCCGTGCAGCTTCTGTTGGATACCCACAAACTGCTGGAGTTGGATGAAGTGAAGATAAAATCTTGAACTAGAAAAGTATACCCATAGAAATGTGCTTTAAAATTTAGGAATAAAGTAAAATATCATAAAGGTATAAGGTACACCCATGCCCCCAAAATGGCTAAAGCTTAACTATTCCAAAAAGTTGAATGCGGCCTCTGAACATATTTTTGGCTTGTTTGTATCCTTGAACTATTTAAAATGGTACATGACAAATCTTGGATCCAGGGATAGCCTGGTCACAACTCACAAGACAATAAAGCAGTGATATGCAATATTAGGGTTTGATTAGAGCGCATCCTTCCCCTTCGAAGAAGAGGGATATTCATACGTATAAAGTTACGTGATCATATGATGTCATCTAAGGGGTATTCAGCCAAGCCAACACGGGTAGCCCAAACGGAATTGGGAAGCCTAAGGTCGTGGCCATCTGCTGAGTGTATGGGTCGAGCACATGGGACAAGGAGGCTCATTAGACTAAAATCCTCCCAGACCCATCAAGTATCTTGGGCCGGCCGGGCTTCAAAGCTTTCGCTTCGGCAGGCCGGATTGTCCCGCCCAATCTATCTAAGTACGGCTACGTCCCTCTAGTACCCCTTCTACTTAACAACCATTGATTTTTTATGATGCAGATAAAAAAACCAGATGTCACTTGTCGCCTTATTTGGCTAACATGTGACATGACCCCCATCGTGCCCGCATTGGATAAAAGTAGGACTCAATGCTTTGAACCCTTTGGTTATCATTACATAATGGTAAGAAATTATGCCTTCTATAAATTATCATGTACAGGATTGCCAAACTCTAGAAGTGTATAATCGATCTAAAAGTTGAATTAATAATTACAGTGAGGTCTCTCTGGATTATGCTACATCACCAAGCTCCTCATTTAGCCGAGTAAGGATTTACTCTTCTTAAGAAAGGTTAAGAAATTGTGAGTTTTGTGTTAGTGAAGTGATGTGGACACATGTCACAGTGAGTACCACACTACCACTATTATCTAGTGTGGCAAAGTAGGACTTGAAGCACACACACCAGCAACTTAGAGGTAACTAGATCTAGTTGTATCCATGCAATCTCAAGTTAACGGTTGTTAAGTAGAAGGGGCAAATGGGCAATGAAGGGGCTTAGCTGTATCCTTTTAAATAGTCTATTGATAAAAACGAAACAGAACTTCATTCAGGGGCTAGGTTGAACTTTTAGGAACAGTTTAGGGGTATGGTTGTTGTACCTTATTCCTATTATTATAAATAAAGAGAAAATATCAAAATATGTCCAATTAAGTACAGGTATAAATTCCATGACCAATACATGAACTTTAATCAACAATAAGATATACCTCATCATCTTCACTTTGAAGCCTTCCAGTTAACCGGGCATAAAGATGTTGAACTCTAGGAAGTTTTCTTAAAGCTTTCTTTGGTTCAATTAGCACAGTGGAACATACAGCCTTTTAAACCAGAAAAAGAGAGAAATATAGAACCAAAAAAACTGTTACGTTGAGTTGTAAAGTCAAAGTTATTTGAAGGTCATGATTCAGTACAGAAAAATAGAATTTTGTGTAGCTTGCCTCCAATCTTCTTTTAATACACTCACGTACTATAGCAAACTCATTATGATCTTTCGGGCTGCAGCAAGTATTTACAAAGAAGAGATAATATAGATCACATTCAGCACTGTAGAGGAACTCAATAAAATTAATGTTTTTTCCATGAGCAGGTTCATCATAGAAGTTCAGGTTAGTAAAAGAACCTGGAAAGCAAATCACGTCCTATCTTAAGATCTAGAAGCTCTGTTCCACCTCTAGCTCGGGTGCCAGCTAGAGCATCACTGCAAATGCTGAGTCGATTTCGATGAAATAGTTGCTCTGGCTATACACAATCTGAAAAGTTGAGTATCACCACATAGAACTCCCCAACATTTAACTCATAAGAAAAATAATTGCACTTACAGTATTTCCAATAAATGCAGGTGAATCAGGAGGCTGTAAACAGAACTGATATGCATTTTCTCCTTCAAACTGTAAGAGATAATATTTTATGTTTAGACAATAGTAGATTTGTTTTTTAATAAATCATATAAACATCAACATAGTTGAATAACCAACACCTTCAAGCATGCTAACCACATTAGAGGGTCAATATCTGTACAAGTTACAACTCTGCTGCTGCGAGCAAGTACAACCTACATGACCAAATAAATTTTTTTATTCTCAGAAGTTGTACTTCCACCATTCCAAAATGAACTTTACACTTTTGAATATTGCAAATTGAAATTAACACTTCTCCACTTCCCCTTTAGGTAAATGAATATGTGGCTCTTTATAATTTCTCTCTTGTAAATATTCCAACCACAAACTTTTCAGATTTCACCAAACATCTTCCACTTTTCAACACTTTTCTTAAACTCCATGAAGTCAAAGTGCAACTTCATTTTGGGACAAAGGGAGTATTTTTTAGTAGAATGAGCTATTGAGCTCAAACATCTAAACTCAAAGAAACCACTTATATGCTTTGCAGTTGATGCTAGTAGAGCTGGGGAACAACAGCTTAATAAAAGATAAATAGTTAATTCTGCTTTTTCTTAGCTCAACTACGTTGGCATTGCCGCTTCTGGTTATCGACTATATGCTCAACCACCTTTGAGCTAAATTTGATGCATTTTGAAAAGTCGGGGGAGGGAGGGAGCCAAAAGAGGTGGAATTGATAGTCAAGAACAAAAGACTAGCAATGTCACCACAACTGAAAAGCCAAAAGCAGTATGAACTGTAATATAAATTACTCCATACTCAGTTTAAACCTTGATCAGTGTAGAGTCATCACTGTTTATCATATGCAAAGCATGTTTAACATCCCGATCCCAAGATGTTTTGTCCGGGATGTGAGTGCTGTTGAGTAGATATGTATCTGAAACTCTTCCCACCAGGTGTTTAACTATAGTGCAGACCTGCATATGTTCAGCAAGTTAAAGAAGAGGAAGAAACAAGTGATTGAGTGATGGTGTCTTGCTAAGAGGAAAATACATACCTCACAGATAGTTGCCTGGAGTTTATGTATAGACTTCTTATATGTCCAAGAGAGGGCATCATCCCAAGCAATAGTTGCAGCAATCATTGAGCTCTCTTCACACTCATCAAACTCAACCTGTTATTCAATATCTAGCCCGAGATGGATTATATACAAAAGGACAAAACGAATGGTCTCCCAGATGATATACCTTTCACCAACGAAAAAAGAAGAAATTCAATCAGACTACCTGTGGAACCATAAAATAAAAAGATCCAAAATCAATCCATTCAGAAGCTATGCTTTCAGTGGTGTTAAAGCGGATTGCACCATATGCGCGAATTAGAGGGCATTTCTTGGAGAGAAACCTTCAAGGGAAAGTTTAGACTTCTTATGTTAGACTAAGCCTTCAAACAGCACGTGTTAAACTCTATCCATCACCATAAATGGATCCTTAATCCACATAACCCAGTTATTGAGTGAAAGTGGTTTCATGATATTCATGACCTGACCAAAGTTTTCATGGAAATACAAATTTAAAACGTCTGAATTTAGGTAACAAAAGTCATAAAAATAACACAGAAATCCTGCACAGCTTCTAAATTCACTAAAGTCCCGTTTGGTGAGCGTGTGATATGAGTTATGATATCTCCCAAGTCCCAATATCAGAACCCTTTACTAAGTGTTTGGTGAAGCCTAAACATGGTTCAGGTTTTGTTTATCCCGATATCACAACCCCCCAAATTGGGGTGTTTTAACATTTCCCGAATTTAGGAGATATCAGCCCGAGGGTTTTGATATCTCCCTCCACTGGCCGCCACCACCGCTTGCAACCTACCCTCGCTGGCCACCCACCATGGCTGGCCATCACATGCCGGCAACCCACCCTCACCGGGCACCCACAGGTGCCAGCCACACCCTGATGCTGGCAAGCTCACCACCACCACACCCAACAGTTCACCACCACCGCCACCATGGCTACCCCTCCACCGTCGGTGACCCACCATCATCAGACACCACCCTCAATCACCCCGCCACTGCTAGCCATTGTGACCTGCAATCCACCACCGCATTCACCCACGGCCACTCCCGCACGTCACTAACAAAGATCCTTTCATCTCTCCAAACACTTCCATTTAAGATTTCAAAATCCATATAATTTCTTCAAGATTCCAAAGCTTATAAGTTATATCATATCAACCCACCAAAATTCAAAACTGCAACTCCCAATAGAACAGATGAATCTATATGCAAATATTCTTAGAAGTAAGTCAAAGATACCTCTTAATGGCGAGCCAGTCATTGAATGAGAAAGTGTGGAAGTGGCGGAAGAAGACAGCTGAGCCAAGGCCAGCTACACTCGCCACCGTATGCCTTTTAGATGATGACGAATCCGAAGTAACTGAATCTGCAGTATTGCAATGCCAAATAGATGAAGGACCAAAGTCAAATCTTTGGCTTCTGCCGGAGAAGAAACAGCGCGGGAGGTGGGGAAGATGGTTCTGGGCCTGAAGCCAAGCAAGTGCTTCAATTTTCTCTTTGATTGGTACCTTGGTGTTTGACACAATTTAAAGAGTGGTCAATTATCTATTATTCGTCATTGAGAATAACTATAATTTTTGCATAAAGCCCAAATCATACAAAATGAACACATTAAAACTGGAGTAATGCTCTCACGGTTGCCTTAAATATGCCGTTCTTGAGTCACATTAACAACACAAACAATGCTATTGTTGTGTCTCTCAGACGACCAAAACAAGGTCATTTAATTCATAAACCAAACTTCAAAGTAGGAGAAAACTAGAAAGCTTACTAATCATATTTTACAGACACTCACTTTTTTGTTTCTCATTTATATACTCCCTTAATCCCTTTTTTCGTATTTGACATTTGACAGTTTCCTACATGAAGTTTTGATTCATAGGATAAATCTTTTGTACGCCAAATTTTTACTATGTATATATATGTGTGTGTGTGTGTATATACATACATACATACATACATATATATATATATATATATATATATATATATATATCTATGTATGTATATATACATATATATACATATACATACATACATATATATATATATATCTGTGTATGTATATATACATATATATACATATACATACATACATACATATATATATACACACACACACACATATATATAGAGAGAGAGAGAGTTGGTGTTGAGTCTCTAAATTGTAATATATTTCAATCCCCAATCCTTATATTGTTTTTTTTTTTACTTTAATTGCACATTATCATCTCTTTGAGCATATTTTTTGCATTTGTACATTTTAGGCATCATTATATATTTTATATCTTAAATGGGTGTTTTTAGTACTCTTTTCAATCTTTTGTACTATTTGCTAATTCATGCTCTTTGGGCATTAAGTTCACTATACAATATATTAGAGTACTGAGCAAGGCAAACAAGGGCATCACATTGATTGACATCTCGGATGTTCTTCTTCGGCGATACACAGCAGCGAGCACGGGGTGGGAGAGCGAGATCACGGTAGGGGAGAGCACGGCGCACGGGCGCAGGGGCTTCGACCCTAGCCACCGGCCTTGAATTGCAATCGAGCAGCAGTCGAGCGAGGTCAGATTCAACAGCAGCAATCGATGATGGATAGCAGCGGCGATGAAGACAACGGAGATGTTACGGCGACGGTGCTGCGATAATCCAGGGGTCCTCCGCGCAATCGCTTCAGGCGACTTATGAGGCGCCTTAGGCAAAAGAGGCGCTCGCCTTTAATAACTATGATTACACCGGTCCCATTTTTGCACTTCGGAAACAGACAAGTCTCATTTGGACGACATACATAAAAGATAAGTCTATAGTACAGCTATGAAGTGCAAAAACGAGAGTAGTGTGATTTTGATTTAAAAGTTTTGGTGAACAGCTAACATTGCTCTACGTCTTATTATCTGACATACAACAACAACAAACCCAGTAGAATCCCACAAGTAGGGTCTAGGACCGGTGTGTGTATACAAACCTTACCCCTTGGAAGTAGAGAGGATGTTTCCAAGAGACCCCTAGCTCGACACTTCTTACTACCTAACATAGAAAATTTTTAAAATATGATAAGATAATTTTATTTAAGTATTTTGCAAGACAAATCTTATGAAATTGTCATTATAATATCATTCAATGTAATATTTCTTCAGTTTGACTTTTTGTAGTATTTTTTGCAGTCTGAACTAACTTTCACCATCAACTTAATAAACATTCTATTGTATGCTGAAACAAAAATGGTTTTATTGTATTAATTATTTCATTATATCACATTATATTAGATTTATCATACAAAAACCTTTCAAAACTATTTCATTGCATTAATATGCCGTAATTTTTATTTAACTAATGTTCAACTTTTATCCGATGTGTCTAGAAAAAAGTAAAGCTAGACAAATACTTTGGCGATAGGAGTATCGTTTAATTAAAAAATGATCAAAGTTCAAAATATTTGACCAAAAAAGTCAAAGTGGACAAACTCTTTAGAACGATGGGAGTATAATCTTATCTTTTATCCACTTGGATGCTGGAGAAGGCAAGATAAGGATTTTTGTGTTATTCTGAATCAGGTCACTGCTTACCAACCATGTGACACCTACCGACCCATAAATTTTTTTGAAAAAAACTTCCTTTCCCTCCATTTTCTATGTTCTCAAGCCATTACGTGTTGTGTTGTTTGAACTTTTGTAGAAAATTTCCAAGGAGAATGTCATAGGGCACTACAGGGTTGGGACATGTACCTCAAGGCGAATAATGCCAGAGTCAAATGGCGGAGGGTCAGAGTTGATGAGGTCGGAAACAACAGCTTTGAGGCTTTCTGTAGCCAAATCTAAGCTTGAAACTGCTGGGAAGGTCCGAGTTTCGACCGTCCCAGCAGTGGCAATCGGATCACCTTGGCAACCATTGATGGACAGAAAACAATTTGCTCCGTGATAATATCTCTGACAATAAATGTTTGAAGATCACAAAAGTAAGAAGGAAACACTAATCAAAACCGGAATGAGAGAAAACTTGGAATTGAAACAGAGCGAGTGTGTTTGTTTAATTTGTATACATATTTACTTGAATGGAGAAACAAGCAGGTTTTGTGGGGAAGAGATGTGGAGATGGCAAAGAGCAATTCTTAGATTTTAGTTCTATGAATTGAACAAAATGCCTGATTGTAGCAGCCAAGGGCGAATGCATTGTCTCCCTATGGGTAGTTGGCTTCTAACTGGCCTGCAATTACATGGTCAACTTGAAAAACTGGTAGTGCATTTTAAAAAAATAGATTCAGTAATTACTTTCTATGTTCTTAAATAAAGGTAACACCTGCATTTTAGTGCTTTCCAATAAACAAACTAAATCATGTAGTACTTATTTAAGAAAGCACCTCAATGGTGCATTTTGGAAAAAAACAAACACTTTGTGCTTAAGTAGAGGAGGAATACTTTTACACATTTTGAAGGGGAATGGAAAAAGTGCTTTAACTTTTGACAGTAAAAGAACACATTCTATTTTCGAAAGCCGCAGATTTGTGATTTGAAAAAAGAAACACTTTACATTCTTAAATGAGAACCCACATATGATAAAAGCACTTATACCAGAGGTGGTACCAAACAGGTTTGACACTTTTCTATAAATGTGTATCTATAATAAGTCATCCCAAACACCCCCTAGAACTTTTTCCATATTACAAAACGAAAAGTCTCTCCACTACCTCAGTTCATATATATTTGAAAGAAAAGAAATTGTTGCCTCTTCTAACTTATAAAGTCTAAACAAAGAGGAGACCCTTGTAAATTGTACTACAACTCCAATACCAGAAAATGTCAGAATTCAGTGGAGATTAGACCTAATATGAGCCCTGTAAATCAATCACAAATTTGCAAGATTAAAACATAACTTTTAGTACCTAGTATCATTTAAATCTTCTCCATTGAAGATAAACCCTTTAAAACACTGCTTTACGAAATCTAACTAAAGCCAAACCAAATTGAAGTTGAAACTTGCATACGACAATACAAACTACAATCTACGGATCCAGAAGCAATCTGATGGACTGTCCCAACATCTATAGAGCCGGAAGCAATGTGATGAGCAATATATTTAGTTAGCTACTTTTTTTTTAATAATCAAACAAACTTTTATTCTATGGATAAATACAAAATTTAACCCAAGCAATTCACAAACTCCTAATTCGCAAAATAAAATTGTATTAAATTATTTCAACTAAGGACCAGACCATTTCTATGGAAAATCGAAAGGGAGAATGGTTACCTCAAAAGATAGAGCTTCCGGCAGATTTCTTTTTTATATATATAACTACGTCCCTCCAAGAAAAAAACACTCCCTACTTTGACTTGTTGACTTTCTAATATTATCCTTTGCTAAATCCTCCGCCCATTTCGTTCTTATCCTCCCACACAGTCCTTTCCGTCCCCCATGTAGTTCCTCTCCATTCTCAATCCCAAGAATAATTTCAGATCCCGAAAGACAAAATCCGTTTCTTCCGGGTCAGAGGATCCAATGTCTTTCAGTTCCAAAACGATATCTGCCTACGATTTCGTCGAATCGCACAACGGCCGCTCGAATCTTCCTTGCCCACCAACAAGTGGTCGAAGATCTCTTGGAGCGTTGACGTCGATCTGGTCTAAGCATTCAATCTCATTGACAGGGACGATGACGGGAAGATCGGTGGAGCAGCTGGAGGTGCCGTTGTGCCAAGAATTTATGTAACTAGTATTTTTACGGGATGCAAGGGTAGAACAAAATTTTCCTAGATTCCAATTTTTTTAATGTAATATATTTTGCGGAATCAAATAAAATATATTTCTAACACGTTTTTTAATCAATAAACAACGGCAAAGTAGAATAAATAATATTTGAAGAACTGGAAGTATACTCGAAAAAATCTTTTTTAATTCCAAATTTTCAGAAAGACTTTAGGGTACACAATATCTTTGGTATGGTTGTAAGGATTTCCATTATCATCTAGAACCAATATTTTTAATTATGTCTTTGTCTTCACTCGTGAAAAAGTAACATAAAGCTAACCATGAGTAAATATTGAATTGGTTAAAAATAATACAACAAAAGACAATGTTTGACCTAGACTTTTGTTAATAGTCATAACAAAATATAATACGGAGTAATATTAAGAATTGTCTCCTCTAGAATTTCGAGGGTAGTCCTGACTCCTGAATCAAATGATACCAAATTCATTCGGGGTATATAAATCATTTTGCCAACTGATTTCCCAAAACGTCAATTGCAGTGATAATATTCTTTCTCAACTTCTCAACGATTAATCTTCAACCATTACACAATTCAGATATTTGGTCAATGTTCTTTAATGACATAATCGGTACCCCATTTTTAAAAATTATTTTGTGGTTTAGGATCTTGGAACATTTGATTTTATTAAAAAAAAACTGAAGTGTTATCCAATTGTTAACTTTGCATGAAGAATCAAAAATTAAGTACTCTTTGTCACCTCCTAGAATAAGAGATAGGACAAATTCATTTACCATTCAACAAACTCGAGCGTGAGTGATAATACTCCACTATCCTTAAAAAAATAATTTTTCATGTTCTCTAGTAGATTCGGATAAGTGAATTCCATTGTTCTCTTGAGGGGATAACTTATTTCAAAAATCAAGAATTCAGGCGGGATTTCAACGTCACCAATTCCATTGATCACTTGTCTAAATTTTCCATCTTCGACTTTGATTATCCAATCAGAAAAAAATTTTGTGTCACAAAAAGATCTGGAAATTCTGGAAATTCTTTGCATCGGACCATTTCCGCACTTTGTGGTTGTACACAAAAAGATCTAGAAATTCTGAAAATTCTTTGCACACGTCAAATTTTATCCGCATCATACTGTGCATTGAAAATAATCCAAGCTTCAAACATTGAAGCTTTGTCATATTTTTTCGACAACATCTTTTAGATTTTGTTGATCTCTAAAGGTTGCAAATTTTAGCCCTGGAAGATGGAAATTCAACATTGAGTGTGTCCACCATATTAATTTACGTAGTACGTAGTACATAATAATTTATACATATAGTTAGTTAATACACAAAGATAATTATTTTATTACCATGCTCAAAGAAATTAAAAATATGTGTTATTGAAGATAGATCAATTCTCTTCTGTCTTTTATACACTTAAAAGCACGATGAATTGTGTAGTTGTTCTCGAATTGGAGAATTGTAAAGATTTTTTTGGAAAAAAATTACTGGAAAAATTAAATATTTAATTCAGAATAATAAAAATACCATTTGTCAAATCACAGAGCACATTCTTTCTCGAACATGTTCAATGAGGCGAGGTTATAGCCGATGACGACCTCTCTTCTTCTATATCTGTAAAAACTATCATAAAATAAATATTGTAAATATTTTTATCTAAAAATTTTAAACATAAAAAAGTTCTATTATCCACTAATATTTGTTACATTGCTGTCAGATGAATAAATAAGCAAGAATATTACTTATTTATATTATTTTGACATAAATATCAAAATAAGCATGTTTTTTATTTTCAAGAATTTTAATTAATAGTAATTACACTTATAAAAATTAATATTATACCATAAATATTTCGATTAGGAACACCAATTAATAATTAATTTCTCACACATAAATACTCACATACTAAGTCTTCAACATTTCAAAAATTATTAATAGAAAATAGTAATTTTGTGGCACACATCTTTTAATTTTTTCAAAGTTCGTAATAGAAAATAAGAATTTAAAAATAGAATTTACTAATTTTAAAATGAACATACTTTTTATTTAACTTAGTATTTTTTAAATATATACTGAATAAAATTATTACTTTATTAAATAGACATGCCCATTAAAATCCCTTTTCTTTTATATATCTATTTCTGTTTTTCCAAAGTTGGAAAATATCTCCAATTAGTATTAATTCAAAGTAAAAATAAATATTCATATGTACGGAGTAATTTCTTTTAGTTTTACCAATTTATCTATTTTAGAATAAATTTATTCTTTTGATTATGGTTTTTGTATATGAGTTTTTTTTCAATTACAAAATATATTATTTAATTTAAATATTTTCCAAAAAAGAATTAAGATATAAAAGTTTTAAACGCGATTATGTTGAGAAATTTGTGTGTAACAAATACAAAATTTAATTTTCATAGAATAAGTTTTTTTATTAACTAATTCTTTAAATATAACTTGATGAGATGGCGTGCTGACATGTCAAAAAAATTGCCCAATAAGCGCGCCACATGTCACAATTCTAGAAGCCTAACTCTCAAATATATGTAAAATATAAAATAATGAAGAACTAACCTCTGAGTCATGAAAAATAATATCCAATGATTCCGGCCGTCGAGATTGGGAAGGAACGTGATAAACTCTTATCGCTCTTAGTTTCATCATTAATAGCGCTGACCTCTCATCAACATTTTTTAAGTCGGTTAAAATCCTCATGCTCGTAAAAAAGGCGATGTTGAAGCACTGAATAAAAACACACGTTAAATAATCTTACTACGAAGGGTTCGTAAAGGACCGTATTTATAGTATACATTTCTAAAAGGCTAATCATAGTACAAAGGGTTTATTTTTTAAACGAATTTTTCTATATTTTTGAAACGGAAAGTTTTTTGTTTCCGAAGAAATATTTGAAAAGGTAAGAATATTTAAACAGTAAGAATATTTAATTCTTACCTTTTGGCCTTTATTTTTGAAATATAATTTTCTCTTTCAAAACAAATTTCCATTCTATTTTTATTTTTTAACATTTACAGTATTAATAGCATTTATTGGCATGTATTTATAGCCTTTTAATACTTAGTAACTAAACATCACAATTACCATATGTAATGTCATAACATCTCTTGAAACAGAAATTTAAAATTTTTAAACAGAAATTTTAATATTTTTTATTTTTGAAATATAATTTTTTTCTTTCAAAAATTTCCATTCTATTTTTATTTTTAAAAATTTACGATATTAATACCCTTTTATTATCGTGAAATAAAAAATTGGGTTGAACATTTACGTAATAAAATATTATTGAAACATAAATTAATAGCCTTTTATTACTTACCATGTAAACATCATAATTACCATATGTAATGACATAACATCTTTTTAAATGGAAATTTAAAATTTTTAAACGGAAATTTTAATTTTTCATTTCTGAAACAGAATATTTTTCTTTCCAAAAAAATTTCCATTCTAGTTTTATTTTTGAACATTTACGGTATAAATGCCCTTTTAATGGCGTGAAATAAAAGATTGGGTTGAACATTTACGTAATAAAATATTATTGGAACGGAAATTAATAGCCTTTTATTACATACAATGTAAACATCACAATTACCATATGTAATGGCATAACATCTCTTGAAACAGAAATTTAAAATTTTTAAATGAAAATTTTATTTTTTTATTTCTGAAACAAAATTTTTTTTCTTTCCAAACAAATTTCCATTCTATTTTTATTTTTAAACATCTACGGTATTAATACCCTTTTATTGGCATAGCATAAATTATCAATTGAAGCCTAAGAATTTGGCAATATTCAGATTAATAAAAATTATTAATTGAAGCTGTAGCATAAATTAAACTAAGGAAAGAATACATGATATATGGAAAGAATAATTGAATTGCCACATGTCACTCCTCAGCTTTGCCAAATGTCACTCCTCAGCTTTGCCATATGTCGCGTTCCTGCAGCTCCGACTCTCCTTTATATATATAAAGGATAAAGGATTGGGCAGAATTCTAAACTAACAAAAAACTATTCTAAAATATTACTATATTAGAGCATTAGCAATGACAAGACAAAAATGAAATGTCACACGGTGACATGGACTATTTCAACCAATAAAAAATAATTTAGTCACCGTATGACAAATGAGTGAAGTGTCGTGACATACAGTGGCAAGTCATTGTTTTTGTCTATTTTTTTTACTTTTTAATTATTTTTAATTATCAAAAATTATTTTACACATTTATTTTATTATTAAAATATGTCTACTTCTTTTAAAAAATATTTTTTCAAAAATTAAAAATATTAAAGATATTAAAAAAATAAAAAATGAGGGAGTCACGCCTTGCACATGGAATGAAAAATGGAGTGAAATGACCATGGGATGCCATAATTTGAGTCACATTTGCTAACATGCCTAGGCAAGGCAAGGCATTGTCTTGCCATTGTGAATGCTCTTAAGGTACATGAATGCTTCTCAATTTTCAAAAATTATTCTATACCCGGAGTAAATTGTAATTTAGTTCTCAAAAAATTATTTTTTCTATAAATAGTTCGTGAAAACCGATTATGAAATGGTTTTTCAAAAATTAAGGATCATATAAAAATAATATCTTAAAATCCTATCCTATATATATAAATTTGAAAGTTTGATTTTTAGAAATCATCTTAAATAAGACTAAAACATAGAAAAAAGTACCAAAATAGAACTTTCATGTTTTTTTCTCGAAATAGGACTTTGCACTATGATAATGTGGCTTTGCCTTGTGGTAATGTGGCAGTGTACATGTGCACATTACTATATTTTTTGGTAATGTATATGACCATGTTTGGTAATGTAAGTCCTATTTCGGGAAAAAAACCATGGAAGTCCTATTTTTGTATATTTTCAATGTTTTAGTCCTACTTTGGTATTTCCCCCTTTGATTTTTAAGAGAATGACATGTGTCAAACTTGAGAGAGTGACTTATGTTAATATTTAGAGAATAACATGTGGCAATCTTTAAAGATTTTTTTTAGAGCACTAGAAATACCCGTGAAGCCTCGAGCTTCAAAATTTCTCTCTCTGCCACGTCAGCTTTAACTTACAAAGCTCACCAAACTGTAAGTCAAAGCTCACCATATTTTTTCAACACTTTAAATTTTTTTCCAAAAAATAAAATCAAAGGAAGGGGTGCTGACTGGACTTTGACTGTTAACCGCCAGCATTGATCGTCGCCGGCCGCCGCCGCCGCCGGTCGCCGTCGCCAATCCCCGCATCCACCGCCGATCTCCGCCGCCGCCGATCATCGCCGGTCGCCGTCGCCGGAATCCGGCCGCCTGTCGTCGTCGTCGCCGCCCGCCGCTGTTGCTCCGCCGCCGTTGACCGGTGGTTGACTGGCGTTGGTATTTTATTTTTAATTAACTTTTTAATTTTTAAAATTTAAAAAAAAGGTGAGTTTTGGGGTTCAAAGTGGTGAGCTTTGCTTTATTTCCAGGTGAGCTTTGCATTGTCCATTGGTGAGCTTTGTAGTGTAGTGAGGTGAGCTTTGCATCATCTGACCGAACCATGTCATCTCACCGCAAGGTGTCATCTCACTGGAGTATATATATATATATATATATGCATACTACGGTGAGATGACATGCTTCGGTGAGATGACGTCAAGCTCACGACATTACACCAAAAAGCTCACCAATGGCCCATGCAAAGCTCATCTGGTAATAAGGCAAAGCGACACTTGGAACACCCATTTTTAATTTTGAAATTTTAAAAAATTATTAAAAATAAAATACCAACACCGGTCAACCACTAGTCAGCAGTGGCGCCCGACGACCGGCAGGTAGAGCAGCGGCGGAGAGAGAGAGAGAGAGAGAGCGAGAGAGGGAGAGAGAGAGAGAGAGAGATAGAGAGAAGTATAGTAGTGAATATATTTTTTATGTGTGGAATTAAGTGTATTATATGTGAGAGAAAAATATTACGGAGTATGATTTAATGAGAGAGTCGTAAAAGTATTATAAAGAGTGGATTACAAGAGATTATTAAGTTAAAATGGAGGAAATTGTTCTAGTTGTGGGTTCTCACCATTAGATGAGGCAGAATTTAATTTTTTTAGAAGTGAGGAAAATTTGACAGATAAGTCACAAGTACTACCCCTCTCTCGAATTGTAACGACTTGAAACCCGGCTTAGTAGTTAGCCGTTATTTTAATAGAAATGAATATATTATTTATTGACTTCAAAAGATGAATTATTTGTAAAGTCAACCATTTAAAAAAAATTAGGTTTTCAAGTAGATCTCGTAAAATGGTGACCGATGGTATATAGTTTCTTAAGTTTGAACTTTTGTGTAAACCGCGATGAGTAAAATAGGCATTTCAGTTCAATATATAAATACAAAGAATTTTATAATATAATATTATAAATAATAATAACAAAGAAAAAGGTCCTTTTCCTAATCCTAATCGAATTGGAGCTTATACCATTATAAATAGAAGTAGACCATCTTTCGTTTCTCCTTCTTCTGCCGCGCAACGGAACCGAGCAGACCAGGAGTTCGCCCGGAAATCTTTGCCGGAGTTCTACAAGGGTTTAATTCGTCAATCGAGGTGAGTGATTTATCTCTCGTTAGAATTAATTCGTAAGTTAGGATTCGTTAATATATTATCTCCAATTGATGTTGAATTTGTGAGTTGGATTGTTGAATACCTTGATTAATTGGAATTGATTGTATATTTGGAATGGGGTTTGGGTTGGATAATGGCTATTTGCCTTTTTCGAACTTTTCTCTGCTATGTACTGTTCCGTCGCTCTCTCTGTACCTCCTCTGTTCTTCTCTATTTGTTCCTCTCTCTGCTCGGAGCCGCTGCTGTGTTGCTGACCAGGGAGGTCGTCGTAGGTGACCCCGCTGCTGGACAAAATGTTCGCCGCTGGTTGGAGTTGGGGAGCAGGTACTCTTTGGACAATAGGATTGGGGATTTAAGTTTCTAAAATTGTAGATTGACCCCATGATTCTCAAGACGTTGCAATTAGGCCCTCTTCTATATTATGCCTCTAAAATATGAATAAAGGCTACAAATTAATCTAATGCATTGTTTAAACTAATGAATTGTGTAAGGGTAATTATGTGATTGAATTGGATTATGGGATCATGTCTCCTGGTATATCTAAGAAGGTTTGAGTTAACTTAATTCATAAGGATTAAGATTTAGGATTTAGGCCTGGTGGGGCGAGCTTCGCATAACTCACAGGTCTTGGGTTAAAAACGTACGTACGGGAGTCATTAGCCTACCTTGGGATTCCATTGTAGGGGCTCCAACCCGCCCATTGAGGATTCTCTTTGGGTTTCATCAAGCGTGGCCTCGTGGGATCCGTCCGAGTGTCCATGACTTAGTTAATCAAAAGGAACTTTAGCCTATAGGGTTAAATGTAGAAAAAAACAGGAACTGAATATAAATAAATAGTTGATCATGATATTTGATAATGATATTTGCTGATTCTTCTGATATTGTGTGATTATATATTGATGGGTGCTAGTCTATGAGTTAGTTTTAGCGTTAGATACTTCACTCTCCCTATTTTTACAGGTAGGGATCAAGGATTAGACGAGGAGCAGCCTGGAGGACAGTGAGACGTGACGCTGGTGGATGGCCCGAAGCTGTTTAACTTAAATTAAATATAGTTCGTTGGATTTGTTTACTTAAATTACTAGAAAGTTGAATGTTGTTTTCAAGGCTTCCGCAATGTTTGAATTATTTACTCCGATTAAATGATAAATTATTTTCAATAAATATGAGTGTTTGTTTTATTTCTAAATATTTTTAAAATATTGTGCATGTGAATACCAAATTAGTGACAACCCGACTTGCTAACTTGTCGGTTTGGGTTACGCGGGTTGGGGTGTTACACGAATACTACTACAACTCTGATCATGATATATGTTGAACCAATTTGATTGCACGAAAGTAAAAGACTCAAAATTCAAAGATCAATTTTCTTAAAAAAAATAGCTGTGGAGAAATGAAGGTGGCATCGATATCCATACCCCAATCAAATGAATGGAGCACAAACCAAACTTTAACTAGCATTGACACGTTCCACCCGCGACGATGTTCAACCAATGTTATATTTTCCACCCAAAATATCTTTATGAGCATTTATCAAAGACACCGCCATTGTTGTATTTGTGCACGAGGAGGGATTAAAAAAATTAAAAGATAAGAACCATCAATTTTAAAATTGGAGCACCATACATATTGTCAAAAGAACCAAGCTTATAACGACAATAATAAAAATAATGATGATGATGATGATGATATAGTAATAAGAATAACAATTATTATTATTATTATTATTATTATTATTATTATTATTATTATTATTATTATTATTATTATTATTATTATTATTATTATTATTATTATTATTACAGCAATAATACCGGCGTTTTCATTTTTATGGGTCATGAAATAAAAGAATTCGGACTCTGTTCAATTCACAAAGCAGGTCTGAATAATGACTATAACTTCTTTTGACTTTACATGGACAATAATAATAATGATAAGAGAACATATTACAACATTACATTTCTCGGCTTGCCTCAACGAGCATAGATAAAACTATACCGATCTCCATCACAATGCACACATGACAAAGATAAAGTAAAATAGAAACTTTAAAACTGGAAAAAGCAACTACTTCCCTATGCAAAACAAGGCAAGAAAAAAAACAAGAGCCCTTCTATGTTGTTGATTCCAATAATGGTACACATTCACTCCAAGGCTTGATTTCATGTCACCTCAAAGCTCCTTGTACAATCTCCTGAACCGTTCGATTGCGGCGGCAAACCTCAGAAAATTCTTCGATGGGAACTACCAATCCATTCACATTTGCCCCACTTGCTGCCTCCGATAACGCTTGTAGGAACTTTGCCTTTTCCAACTCAGTAACAGCAGTTGATGGGATTAAAGAAACGCAGTCCTTTGTCCAGTCAAGAGCTTTTACCCCGTATGTACTAGTATTATTATCGGCTTAGCAAACCATGCCTATAAAGGATTGAATTCTAGGCTTGAGTTTTCGAGAAGTTTCTTCGCGGTTTCAATAAATCCAACCCAAAGTTTGAAAGAAGTAAATTAAAAATCCAAACACCTTAGCCATAAAGCCTTCTTCCCATGAGGAAGAGAAACTCCACTCTCACATAATATAATTCACAAAATCAGCAAAGTATCAATCTAATTCGAGAAAGTTCAATTCCAGAAAAACTGAGAGAAAGAACACTACACATATCCTCTAAAATAGAACAAAGCAACACCTAGCTACTGTTTTTCACCCAATTCCTTTAATGCTTCGTGGTTATGTTGATCCATGGTCTCCACAATCTTGAGTTGATCCAAGGTGGTGCTTTGTGGTTATATTTTACATCAAAATAATTTAATTAAACTGGAGTATTGGACTGTCTGATCAGCTAACCATTGCGAGGTAGGGGGGGTCGTCGGAGTAGATAATATAATTATTTTAAAAGAAATTGGAGTATAATTATCATGCAAACACTTCACCGCAAAGAGGAGCCATTGTGCCCTGCATGTATGGAAACCAATCGTTTTCGAATTCCCGAGCAACCTCTTTATGTAGATTGTCATGGGAAGGAGCACCACCTTGACATTCCAAAAGTTGACAAGCATCCATAGATTGAATCAGACCATCTTCACCAAATGCAACAACAGCCTGGTGTGTGCCACCGCGCAGAAGGAAGAATTCTTCGCAAAGTTTAGCTGACTTGGATGGGTCTGCAAGGCATACGAACCACCCCTTATCCATGAAGCATTCATCACTAGTGCCTAGAGCTGGCAAATCGATCGGTCAGGTCGGATTCGGGTTCAGTCACTTCGAGTTCGGGTTATTTCGGGTTCGGGTCAACTCGGGTTCGGGTTGAGAACTGTATGTTCATGACCCAGTGTCATCGGGTTCGGGTCGACCCAACGGGTTATGACTTTGGTTTTATAAATTTTTAAATTCACATTAATTCTTACATTTTCTATTAAATAAATATAAAATATCAAAAAATATGTATTAAATCTATTAGATTATTCCATTTTAAATCCTGAAAATTGTTTTAGACATATAAATAAATATAAGGAATTTAAAAAATGCTTAAGTTTTAGAAAAAAAGTAAGATAATTATGCAATCTTATTAAAATTTTTGTCTGAAAATATAAATTTATACATTAAAAACGAGTATTAAAGTGTACGATTTTGAAAAACTATTACTTTAGCAGGTCGGTCAGGTCGGGTTCGGGTTCGGTCGGGTTTGACCCATTTTTAGCGGGTCATTTCGGGTTCGGTCAGCTTCGGGTTCGGTCATCAAAACCTTTGTTCAAAACCCAGTGTTTTCGGGTCGGGTTTCGGGTCAAAAACAGGTCGGGTCATTTTTTGACAGGTCTACTAGTGCCGCTACCATCTATGCTTACAGCAACCACCTCAACAACATTTGAATGCTCTCTCTTTTCATACCCCTCCTTAAGCACAGCCAATTTATCAGCTAGATCTTTCTCTTTCTCTGTGCATAGATAAAGAAGAACAATCTTGTAGTTAAGCGCTTCTTCAACAGGTTTCTGAGTGATGGAGCTGGACCCGAGCTCATCCTTGCGACAAACATATGTCCAAGGAAGTAGTAATGAGCTCAAACTCAGTCCCCTTAACCTTTGAAATTCCTTCTCAACCAAACTCCTCCTGGTGTAGGGATAACAGTCCATGCCAAAGTCACAGATGATTTATAATCCATAGGGATCCACATACTCTTCTATAGGATCCACTATGAAAAAAGCATCCAACAAACTCTTACGCATTCGATTTAGCCTTTGGGATATGGTGTTGTTGAAGGGAAAAACCCACCAGCCAAGCAGGTTGAGACTTGCAAGCTGATCCATGATCAGCCCCTCAAACAACTTTGGGGGCACACCCATATCAAAGGGACAGCACACCACCACAATCTCAAGCTCATACTTTTTCCGTCTACATTCCTCATCAACCTCCTGAAGCTTCCTTAAACTATAACATTCAGAGCACAAGTAAATCCCCACAAACTTCTTCTTAAGTTCTGAAATAGATATACTAGCGTCCTTCAAAACATTGCACAGAACATCAGTGTCCGCAAGGCCCAAAAGCTCATTGAGGGAGAGATGCCGCGGAACACGGTGACGGCTAAAACAAATCTCTTGTCTCTCTAGAGTAAAGGGGAAGCAATCACTCTCAGCTCCTCCAAACTAAAAAAACATGCTGGGCGGGCCATGATAAAGGACCTCCTGAGACGGATCTAGAATCGCAACTGTAGGCAATCCATCAAAACCAAGTGCTAAGCAATTCCGCTCACGCCGATCACAGTCCTCGAAAGGGACGGCAAGGCAGGAAAAGCCCAACAAAAATTGTTGATAGGCAGAGAGAGAATGAGTGAAACCCTTCCTCATCATTGGCACCACCACCAGCACGAAATCATCTCTCCTAGCGAGCTCATGAGAAGCTAAAGCTGTGAGATAAACACTGCCTCCACCGCATGAACACCAAATCGAAGGCACAAACACACAACAAATCATAACATATTTACCCTTTAGGCTTATGGTGTTATTCATGTTAACACAAACATTACGACTACCCTTAAAACCCCTATGCGCACCCATATTCAGATCACACGAACCCTCATAACCTGCGAATTCGATGGGCTGAAAGCTGGGATATGTTTTGGCTGAAACTTAAGAGGTTATCCCCTAGCAACTCCAAAACATTCAGTTGTTTGCCAACCTCAACATTGAGCACATGTAGGAAGGATTCGGAATAAACGGGGTATTCTGTCTCAAAATATGAGCCGATCTTATATTCCTTACTTAGGGCATGTGTGTCAGGGCGGTCAAAAGTATCCTTGAATTCAAAACCAGAAATCGAAGCTTTGATCTGTTTTAGTCGGCACTCAGATACATTCGGAAAGCATGCCTCCTCTGCTAACCGCTTTAGCGTCCGATCTGATAAAGCTTTGTAAGATGTCGATGGGCAGTGACGCATCAAATTGGACTCTGACTTTAAGTCTGATCCTCCACACTCATCATCCGCAGCAAACAGATCTACATCCCTCTCCACCTCCATTCTTTGAATTATTTCCAATTTGATATCAGCCCCATTCTTCACGGAAAAACTATAGTCATAGTGCCACATATATTGAAAGCCAGCGTCATCAAATTCTTGACAAATCTCTTCACGCAGATTGCCATGGAAAGGAGGACCTTGACATTCCAAAATGTGAGAAGCATCCATAGATTGGATCATACCATCTTTACCAAATGCAACAACAGCCTCGTGTGGCCCACAGAGAGGATGGAAGTATTCATCACAAAGTTAAGCTGACATGGATGGTGTGCAGGGCATACCAACCACCCCTTATCCATGAAGTATTTATCACTAGTGCCGCCACCATCTATGCTTACAGCAACCACCTTAACAACATTTGAATGTTTTCTCTTAATATTCTTTTCATACCATGCAGTCAATTTATCAGCTAGGAATTTCTCCTTCTCTTTGTACAGATAAAGAACAACAATCTTGTTTTTAAGCAATGCTGTAGAAAAGTCAAAGATGTGGATATACTCAACAAGCGTGGCAGAGACATGTGTCCAAGGAAGCAGTAATGAGTTCAATCTCAGTCCCGTTATCCTTTGCAATTCCTTCTCAACCAAATTCCTCCTGGTGAAGGGATAACACTCCATGCCGAAGTCACGAATGATTGGTAATCCATAGGGATCTACATACTTTTCTATAAGATCCACTATGAAAAGATCTTCCTCATTACTGTCAACTTCACACATTCGTTCCCTGTGTAGCCTGTGGCATACGGTGTTGTCAAAGGGAAAAACCCACCAGCCTAGCACCTTGAGTCTTGCAAGAGCTCCTATGATCAATTCCATACGTAACATTGGGGGCAGCGGATTATAGAAGGGGCAGCACACCACCACAATCTCAAGCTCATACTTTATCTGTCTACATTCCTCGTGAACCTCTCGAACCTTCCTTAAACTTATACAATCCGAGCACAGATAAATCCCCACAAGCTTCTGTTTAAGCTCTGAAATGGTAATACAAGCATCATACGAAATATTCCACAGAACATCAGTGTCGCTAAGGCCCAAAAGATCACTAAGAGAGAGACCCTGCAGATTTGGAAAGGATGCCTTCTCTGATACAAGCAGCGTCCCATCTGAATAAGATGTTGATCGGCGTTACGCTTAGAACTGGACTCCGTTATGTCTGATCCTTCACACCCATCATTCGCAGCAAACAGATTCACATCCCACTCCATGTAACGCCCTACAAACCGGCCTATTAGCGAGCCAATATTTTAAATAAATAAATATTATTTATTTATTGAGACTCATTGTTTTAAATAATAAATATTGAGATTTTGATCTCATTAGATGGACTTCAAAAGTTAATGTGTTTTTAAATATAAAAAGATGTTTTAATAACAGACCTCTCAACATTAATTAAATAATTAATGATTGGGGTGGACCCGGAAGTTTGAAAATAAAGTTCTTAGAAAAATTATGTGAACATGTCATTAAATTCGTTTTGACTATCTGATTCCGGAAACACAAACGGATCTCAATTCGGACCCGTTCGGGGAAAAAACCGCGTACCGTTCAGGTCAGATTTTTTACATAACGGAGTAAATAAATATTTGTAACTCCCCATTTAATCATTCCTCACGCCACAACCTCACCACACCATTCATTCCCATTAAATCCCTTCATTATGTCTCCATTATTTTTATTTAATATAAAGATCCCTTTCCTCTTCATTTCCCCTATCACCCTTGTAACCCCCATTCAACATCACACACGCAACCCTTCCCTTTCCCTTCTCTTGTTCGGCCAACCAAGGCAGCCAGGCGAGGAGACCATTCCGACAAGTAGACGGGGAGGTAGAAGAAGGAAGTTCACGCAAGAAGTTCGTCCAATCGTCGTTGTCATTCAACGTTGTCACCGTTCGTTCGTCCCATCATTCCGTCAACCCCTTTGTTTAGAAGTGAGTAGTTGTCCCCTCTAATTCTAGAACATTTAGTTATAATCTATGTCGTTATATTCATAGGAATATCGTACGCAATCTACGTAGAATATACGCATGTTCGTAGGTTAGCCATCAAAACGTTCACTACATAAAAATCGTATATATTGGCCTAAGAATCACTAGGAATATATTCATCAATGTTTACATTATTGTTCTAAAAAGAATCAAGGTGTTAAGTTTGCAAAATGGATCAAAACGGAGCCAAAGACAGTGGACTGTCATCGGGGCGGTGGACCGCCGCTACGGATGGTGGACCGTTCCCACGGCCATTCCAACAGTCACCACCGTGACGGTCGACCGCCGGCCGCGACGGAAGACCACGGTGGACCGTTGGCATTCTAGACCTCCACAACGTAGCCCACGGTCGACCGCCGGTAGGGTACATTCGACCGTTTCGCAGGCAGAATTCCGGGAAGTTTGTAGAACGAGCCCCGTTGACCATATTGACTCAGAATCTGATTGTGTGTTTTCATAAAATGTTAATCTTCATTATGCATGTTATTTAATTAATATATTCTTGGCGTTGACTAAAGGTAAATATATCAAGCATTCATCATGTTCATTCTAGACGCATGTCCTAGGTTTATCATCATGTGCATACCGCTGTAGGGAGGTCAGGCTTTCGTGTGCCTACTACAGTGGGCCCGTCCATGAACCTTTGGGATCCAACGGGTTTTCATCAGGTGGGCTTTGTGTACGTACAAGGTAGTCAGGCTACGGATACCACCCAGTTTTGCTAATTCACTTGCGACGTTTACGTCGAGCCCGGCTCATTACCGGAGTGCAGGGGTGATCCTGTCAAGTGACTAAGCCAGGGGTGTCCCTGATAGTTTAAGTCATGCATCAAGTCATATCGTCATCATGTGTGTTCCATGTCATGTCAACATTCAATGTGGTCGTCATCATCATGTTCCACGTCACATCAACATTCAATGTGGTTGTTATTCATTTTGTTATGTGTGATAATATCCCATCAAGTGGAAATTAATCAGTTAGTAAACATGTGGTTTTCCGTACGTTAAGTACAGGTATTAATATGTGTATAGCCATATGGATTATCACTTAATGTTGTTTTGTTAGATTCACTCCTCAACTTTTGCTGAACGTGTAGTTATTTTTGCTACACGTAGGTAGACATGACAGTACAGGTGCTAACCCTGGAAGACAGTGATGATGGAAAGATGGGCGGCGCACGGACGAGTTTAATAATTATAAACATTGGAATTAATTAATCATTTGGGCATGAATCCATCATATGTCGTTTTACCTATTTTTGGACTTATTTATTTACTTTCGCTTTTACTCTACATTTATATCACACAAGTTTTGGGAGTAACTCCCTAGCATTTATTTCCGTATTTAAACACAACCGTTTTCATAATAAATACACATTAACGTTTCCTTCCGCTACGGACGGTTCTCGGACCGCCCATGTAACCCAACCGGTCCGTTGGGTCACGGGTGAACCGGGTCCACGGAAGGCGGGTGTTACACTCCACCTCCATCCTTTGATTTACTTCCAATTTCTGATTTGAATTCAGCCACCGAAACCCTAGCCAGACGTCTATCTCTATCTCTCCCACCCTTATTTCCCTATTTTCTTGAGGTGTAGATTTTCATATATATATATATATATTATTATTATTACAGCAATAATACCGGCGTTTTCATTTTTATGGGTCATGAAAAAAAAAATTCAGACTCTGTTCAATTCACAAAGCTAAATGAATGGCCCTCTCCAAACACACCAAATCTCTGTTAAAAAATATGAATAATGACTTGATCCAATCAGGTCTAAAAAATGACTTTAACTTCTTTTGACTTTACATGGACAAATAATAATGATAAGAGAACAAATTACAACATTACATTTCTCGGCTTGCCTCAACGAGCATAGATAAAACTATACCGATCTCCATCACAATGCACACATAGACAAAGATAAAGTAAAATAGAAACTTTAAAACTGGAAAAAGCAACTACTTCCCTATGCAAAACAGGGCAAGAAAAAAAAACAGCCCTTCTATGTTGTTGATTCCAACAATGGTACACATTCACTCCAAGGCTTGATTTCATGTCACCTCAAAGCTCCTTGTACAATCTCCTGAACCGTTCGATTGCGGCGGCAAACCTCAGAAAATTCTTCGATGGGAACTACCAGTCCACTCACATTTGCCCCACTTGCTGCCTCCGATAACGCTTGTAGGAACTTTGCCTTTTCCAACTCAGTAACAGCAGTTGATGGGATTGAAGAAACGCAGTCCTTTGTCCAGTCAAGAGCTTTTACCCCGTATGTGCGACTCAAGGAAAATAGGGCATAAGATACCTACACGCCAAAAGGCCTCGCAGTTAAGGACTATAGCAACCAGATATGGCATCATTGAGCAATTTTGGATATAACGTGTACTAAACACCCAAGAAGTGCTTGCTTATACCGTTTCTAGCCGTGAAGTAGGAAGTGCTCCGGTAATACAAGCAACTAAAGTTTTAGCAATGGTAGCCCCTCTGGGAATAATTATACTGTCTCTGATAGAGACAAAGTTTTCTCCTTGATAAGAGGTTGAAAGATCAAATGTATCAGATAGGAAGTGCAGTATTGAATTGGAAGCCTCCCTGCAAGGTAAATTAGAAACACATGATTATGAATATTTCAAGTCAAGTAGTAAATAATATTAACCAGAATTAGGATTTCAATTGGCTTGGTAGGACGGGGAGGATGCCGATATATCAAATGAGAAGTGTTTATGAATAAACCTAGTGGTAATATGAACGGATTTTGTTGCAAGGGGAGCATCTGGTCCAAAAACAGAAAACTCAAATATATGGATGGGCATTTCTTGAGAAATAGTGTCAAGCTGAATGAATGTTGTAAAGTATGGTTTATCATTAATAATAAAAAAGAGAGAATCAGTAGATATATAAAAACTATTGTTGAATCTGGTCCAAAAACAGAAAACTCAAATAAATGGATAGACATTTCTTGAGAAATAGAATAGTGTCAAGCAGAAAGAATATTGTAAAGTATGAGATAGAATTTAGGATGGGGTATGGATCATTGGATTGGCTAACAAGGCACTTGAGTCGAACCACATTATAAGATTGAATCCAATCGATTATTTAGTTCAACTCAAGAGCTTATATATAGATTTCATCTCTTCAAGTTTGATGTGGGATACTCTTTAACACTCTCCCTCAATTGGACAACCGGGCTATTTTGAATCTAACCAATTGACCACTTGCAAGACTCTCCACTTGCAAGACTCTCCCCAATGAATCGAGAAATTTCGAAACCAGATATCATGATAGAATTTAGGATGGGGTATGGATCATTGGATTGGGCTTCAAGTTTCGATGTGGGATACTTTTTAACAATATGATTTATCATTAATAATAAAATAGTGAAATCATTATATATATATATATATATATATACATACACTATTGTTGAGAGAAAATTCAATATTCTCAACCCAAAAATAACCAATAATCACACATGTCATGGCTCCAGAAGATGAAGAGTATAGGATCTTGTGTTGAATGGGCTAATCAAATTTGATTCATTCATTTAGTGTGACTAAACCAAAATGTCATCAAACAATTGATCCAGAAAAAACAAAACAATCTCATACTCTAAACATGAAAAGCGTGAGGGGAAGTCACCTATGCTGAACTGTGACACCAACCATGGCACAGTCCACTAATGATGGAAACACCGGAGATGGGAACAACAGATGAGGACAATAGCGTATGCACCTTGACGCCAACAGAAAACAATCATCTGCTATGTCTGGTCTAGAAGTGATCTCCTAGAAAAAGGGGACAGCTTGGAGAATTAGTAAATATATGCATAGTTTAAAAAGAGACAGCAAGTTCACACACCAGAAGCCATACCTCAATTTTGGTAAGCATACATGTGGTATGACTAAAAAGGGACTCAATGAGAATTTTTAAGTAGGAAGCACACGATGGATCTGAACCAAATATCTGGAGCAAACTTTGTAAGGATTGTTTCAATAATCATACAGCTAAGGATACCACATCTTTTTTGTAGTCACAGAAAATAACATTCTTACCTTAATAACCTCACTAGAGAGATAAAGGAAACAAGGTTGGTGATGTTGTCTGTACAACACCTGTATTTCCTCAAGCATTGCTCCAATAGTAACTACCATGAGCTGCTTAGACATCCGCACCTAAACAACAAATAAAAGCTTATTAAAACCTTAGAGACAAAGAGGTGACTTATTCAAAAGTGTAACCAAAATAACACTCTTTAATTAAGACCAAACTATCTAATTAAGCATTAAAATAGTGAAAATAAAATAATTGAACTCTAAATGAATAAGAAAGTTCTCAAACTTAACCAGATTTACTAGAGCAAATCAGCAGAACGGAGAAGGGTGCAGGGTGTTACGTGTAGGAAGCACTTTGGGCCCCAACAGAGAACTGTAGGGGCTTGATGGTATCCTATGACATTAAAAACTAATACGTACGGAACTTTAGTGATCTCATACATATATTTGTCAGAAGAATTCTTGAAATTGCATAGAAATCTGACAACAGTTATGTTGTACTTATAGTTGTAAATATGTTGATGAGTTATCTTTCTAAGGGTATATACTTAACTAACAGGGGAAGTTCCTAGTAATACTCCATATTCCACAACATGGCCAACAATACGCTGAAAATTCAGCATTCACTATTTCCTACACCCTCATCATACTTGAAATTGATTCAGGAGTTTGTATCATTAAGAAACTTCAGTTGGTTGACGTTAGCCAGGATCAACTTCTTATGTGTTTCAATGTAAATTAACATAATTTATAGAAAACTTAATACTCAATATGTAATGTCACACATACTTTTGATCCCCAAAAGGAGTCATCCTTGATCAAACAAGGCTAATTCTCAGTAGTTTGCCAAAGAAGAGTCCGTAACTTATATGAAAAAATATGTTAAACCAGACCAAACAAACCCAGAATATCCCACTCAAGAGTTGGGTTTGGGTACGCAAACCTTACCTCCACCCCTCAAAGGTAGAGAAATTGTCGACCAGATGGCCCCCGATGAAGAGTGAAATGTGGTGATGAGTGAAGAACGAAGGGAAAGAGAAGGAAAACACACAAATAACAGCACCGAACCCCTACAATGACTATAACCTAAATACAACGCTTACAAGATCTTCAATAGAGGTCATGTCCTCAACCTCATAGAGGTTAAGAACGACAAGTCTGACCTCAACTGGTCATCCCACATCAAGTGTGCCCTCCCACTTTCATGGCCCCTTCATCCATATAACTCCCACTCACCGATCTGAGCATGAGAACATCATTTCTTATGGATTGTGTACCTTTTTGATAGAATTAAAGTTTTTGGATGGACTACCTAATTTGCTAAACCTTAACTGCCCAACACTCAAACTCGTACAACATAACCGGTCAAGAAGCAACCGTGTAGAACCTAGCATTCAACTTTAGCAGGACTTTATGTCACATAGCACCCTAGACACAAATCTCCACTTCCCAGCCTTCAACTTTAACATAACTGGTCAAGTAGCAACCGTGTAGAACTTAGCCTTCAACTTTAATAGGACTTTATGTCACATAGCACACTAGAGGCAACTCTCCACTTCCTTGAGGATGATAGACCCCAAAACCTTGAAAAAATCATTTGTTGTATTCTCTAGACTCTAGTCCTCAATATGTTTTGCAACATACACCTTGTTTGTATTCCCTCTGAAGTTACACCAAGGTACTCAGTCTAAGAGCCTTTAATGCACAAGTCTAATGCTTCCAATGTGGCTTTCCACTATTCAACTTTCACATTCACCTCTTCTTTGTCTTCCCTACAGGGGCTATGTCTCCATCAACAACCCAGTAAAATCCCACGAGAGTAGGGTTTGAGGAGGGTGTGTATAGGCAGACCTTTCCTCTACTTGAATGTAAGGGGGATGTTTCCAAGAGACCCTGGCTCAAGCAACAAGAAAAGCATAGATAGAGCAGATAACACAAGCTCACACAAGACACTGAAGACACATAAAAAAGCAAAGGCACATATCACAAAAAAAACAAAGAACAAACTAATATTAACGAAGAAAAAGCACAAGAAGCAAAAGTCTCCAAATGTAGTCTCCAAAACGCCTACCCAACTACCTTAATCCTAGCTCTCCAAATGTTATTATCTAAGGCCATATAGTTGGCAAGGCCAAAAGTCTTAGGTTGTGTCTAATCACCTCCATCCAATTCTTCCTAGGTGTACCTCCGCACCTCCTCTCACACCTCCGCACCTCCGCATTGGGCCTCATAACTCCACCACACATGCCCAAAGAACCTCAATTTGGCTTCTTGCAAGTTGTAACTTTTCATTTATCGGTGTGACTCATAGCTTTCCGTGGATAACCTCATTCTAAATCTTATCTATCGTCGTCTTTCCACTCACCCACCGCAGCATCCACATCTCAAGCATGCAACCGATGGATGTGGGTCTTCTTAAATGCCCAACACTCTTTACCACACAACATATCTCATTTAACTACGGACCAGTAGAACATACCTTTCATCCTACCCAAAAATCTTCATATTGCATAGAATCCCTGAAGCTAACCTCCTCTTTTCCCAAGCCGCTCCAACACAGTGCGCGACATCCCCCTTCAACTCCCCATCTGCCTAAATGACCAAACCAAGATACAGATACTGAAACTTCTCAAACTTGGGCAGTGGGTGGAAATCGATCTTAACTTTCACCTAGTGTAAAAAAAATCTTAACTTTGACCTCTGATTCTGTCCAGCCACTAAAACAATATTCCATGTATTCAGTCTTAGTATTACCGAGTATAAAATCTTTGGATTTTAGGGACAGGCACCATAGTTCAAACTTATCATTTAGTCCTTGCGCGTATCGTAACTCAACACAATATCGTTAGCAAACAACATGCACCAAGGAACCTCCCCATGAACTTTCTCAATAGGCTGTTCATCCAGCAAACACGAAGGGGCTAAGGGTAACCCCACCTCTCTGGAGAAAGGTTCAAAGTTACCCATGACCGTCTAAGGCCAATGTATCCATCAAATAACAAAAACCATACTAGTCTTTTGGATCCTTAAAGATCACATCTAGAATCACAAAAAAGATGATTGGGCTCCTCGCAGAAAAGTAATCGTTATATAAGCTCTCAATTGAATTAAGTAATTGATTTAAATTAATCTTTTAATATGGTTCAGCCCATGTGTCTTATGATCCAGTTCAGTGACTCTTACACCATCTTTAATTTTATCATGGTATCAGAGTAGGTTTTGGCCCACTGAGGTCTTCATCTAGACGTTCATTCCTAGCGGTTTATGAGTCTTTAGCCATGACATGTGACCCATTTAACATGATTGTTCGCTTGGAAGTCCATACCCAGCGTCTCGTGGTCATATAGGTGTTACCGCTGCATTCTCAAATATTGGTTTAAAGGATAAGCGAGTCCATTTACAAATGGTCAATTGATAAAATTCAAAATGGCCCGATTGTCCACTTGAGAGGAAGTGCTAAAGTATTTCACATCGGAAGTTGAAGAGAAAAGTAATCGCTATATACGCTCTTGAGTTGAACTAAGTAATTGATAGGATTCAATTTTTTAATGTGGTTCAGCCCAAGTGTCATATGACCAGTCTAGTGACTCTTACCCCATCCTAAATTCTATCACATTTCAACTTGCACATACACATCTAGTATCGTCGAGCTCATGCACAATCGTGGCATCCATATCATCTCTAAGCGACCAAGCTCAACAAATATCTTGAGATGCAGTACCGCAGGCCTTCTTAAAATTTGTAAATACTATGCTTCTTAATAAGATGCCTTAGAAAGTGGATTGTCTCAATCGTAAACCTCTTTGGCATGAAACCATAATAGTTCTCACTGACACTTTGCCAATCTAATCTATGCACAATGGACTTGATCACATTCTCCTATAGTTTTATAGTTACTAAACTCCGAAGGTATGGGCATCACATTTAGTTATATAGAGCAATAGCACCATGCCAAGCCTCCACTCCATTGGCAGCCTTGAGGCCTGAGGATGATGTTTAAGAGGTGAAAAATGGAACTTTTCATAGTTTTATATTTGTGTGGTTTGACATTCATTCTTATTGTATCTTACTTTTTTACATCAATATGAACTACACAATCCTACTTTTCTTAATTCTAGAATCACTCCATCATGCCCCAAAAATAGTGGGAGAGAGGGAGTAGAAAATAAGAAGCAAGTTTAATGTGTCATTTTGGTTTATTCCAATATTTACCCGAAGCTAAAGCATTGTCAAAATGACTCTCTTAGCTCTATTGGCAATATTTACCCGCTAGGTTCCGTATATCATAAAATCTACTCCCTCCGTCCTATATTGATCTTCCCACTTTTCCCACTTTGACCAGGACTCATTTTTAAGAAAGTGTAAATAATGCTTTGACTTTCCAAAAGTATCCCTTCTATCTTCTACTGCCGTCCAATTGCCATACTTACCTCACATGCTCTGTTTTCTTGAACTCATCCAGATTCTAGTTATCAGAGTTCATAATTTCAGGCAACAATATCAAACTTTCCATATTCTAATTTAAACCACTAAAAACATGTCGTCGTTGGTCCACATACCTTCATCGTTCCGATCTAGACTTCGAAACAGAAACGAATCGGAATTAGAGGGTTAGAAGCTACTACACCTAGCAAAACTGACCCGGACCCGATAACCCGAACCGAATAACCCGGAACCAAACCCGATTTGACCCGAAAACTGAAGAACCGAAATGGACCCGAACACCCGAAATGATCTGAACCGAACCCGAACCCGAACCGAATGTATTCAGACCCGATTCAGATCCGAATCCGATTAAACCCGAACCGATAAAACCCGAACCAATAAAACCCGAATCCGGTTAAACCCGGAACCGATTAGACCCAGAATTGATTAAATTTTATGTACGTCCGTGTTAAATAATAAAATAACTATGGAGTATATCATAAATTGATTAAATTTATTATGTGATATTATTGATTTATTAGTAAATATTTAAAATATATCTGAACTAATATAAACCTAAATCGATACAAACCTGAATTGATATAAACTCGAATCGATACAAACCCGAACCGATACAAACCCGAACCGATATAAACCCGATCCGATACAAACCCGAACCGATACAAACCGAAACCGAACCGAAACTGAAAACCAGTCAACTCAAAATAAACCCGGAACCGAACTGACCCAACCTGAACCGACCCAAACCAATTATAACATATATCCAAATGAGACCCGAACCGAAAGGACCCGAACCAAAACCGAACCGATTGACCCGATTGCCATGTCTAGAAGCTACGGATCTATACTATCTCATCTTAGATCGGTTGATCTATTCTCAGATTTGGCGACACGCCGTCAGTCGTGGCTACCGTCGTGCTCTGAAACGGATTAAAATCTAAAATTGGAAAGAAAATTTCATTTTGGTGTAAAGCGTAGATGAAATCTGAAATTGAAAAAAAAAGTTTTAGATCTACAAGAAAAACCAAATCATAATATAAAACAAAAAAAAAATTGAAATCAAAAATTAAAATGGAGTGAAGATGGAGAGGAGAGAGAATGGAGAGGAATATAGATGAAGAAGGAGATGGGAAATGTGAACAGAGAGGAACCAAGAGAATTGCGATAGAGTGGAGAAAGGGAGGGACGGGAATTAGTGGTAATGGATGAAGGGTATTAATGTCATTTTGTATGTGAATAGTGGGTTTTTTTAGAAGTGGGGAGATGATTTTAGGACGGAGGGAGTAATAATTCTTACTATTAAATACATCACTTCCCATAAGACAATGCCACTGTAGTGAGCCGTCTTTTTATAGTAACAATTAAGCTGTCATTTTAGAGTGACTATTACTCTCTAGATGGAAAAATCTAAAACCCCTTTACCAATCTGAATTTCCTCCAGAGTTTTAATACTCCCTCCGTCCCCCTAAGATGTTCTCATTTTGACTTTTGGTGGTTTTTAAGGAGAGTTGAAAAAAGGTGAAAGTTTACCATAATACCCTTAATGAAAAATGGGTGGAGTGTATTAAATGAGGTGGGTGAGGTGTGATAAATAAAGTAAGTAAGGGTAGTTGTGGTATTTTAATTGTTAAAAAATGAAATGAGAAGATCTATGGTGGACAAAGAAAAAGGGCTATTGGGAAGATCTATGAGGGACGGAGGGAGTATGTCCCAATCACATGCTGAAATACTTCGAATTCATACAATACATATGTCAAAAGCTAACTAGTGCAACACATAATACTTACTAATAGTGAAACATCAAACTAACTAATTTAGATATTTATACTAACTGGACTGAGAACAAGAGAAATACAATGTGCCTAAACACTAATGAAATATTTCAAAATCACAGCTGAACTAGTATATGTGGCATCATGATACATTTGTATGAGAATAAAACTCACAGCATTTTTGCATGCCCGACAAAGAGACTCCATGGTCCGCATATCCCAAGCACGGCTGTGACACAAATAAGTAAAAAGAAAAAGGAGCTACACGTGTGAATAAGTGATAGCCAAATGGAGAAACATTACAAACATATCATGTATGAAAACTAATTATTAAGAAAAGGAATAGTAGCAGCTTTCGTACTTATCAAAGATAGCCTTAAAAATTGGCCAGAGTTTTTGAATTGCATCAGCAACAGCTTCCGGGTGATTTACATGTCTGCAAAAGGCAAGTTGAGCTGAATACAAACATACAACAACAAACAACAACCCAGTTGAATCCCACAAGAGTAGGGTCTGGGGAGGGTGTGTGTACGCAGACCTTACCCCTACTCGAAAGTAGAGAGGCTGTTTCCAAAGAGACCCCCGGCTCAACGTTGAAAGTTGCATTGCTTGACTAACTGCTACTTCATTAATTAAAGAAGCGCAGATAGTTTAGAGATCCATTTTGATTTATTCCATCCATTTTGATCCAAGACATCAACAAAATCAAGGACAATATTTGCAAAACATAATGGATTAAAAAAAAGGAAACAAAACAATGAATCATACACATACCTAAAAATATTTCCAAGTCGGTCAATATGAACAGTGAGCTCACGAGGTGTTTTTTGACCCAATACAACAGGACCTTGATTGATAATCTCCTGCTAATTTATTGCACAAATTAATTGTAACAATCTGAATACTGTTAATGTAACATTAGAGAATTTAGTAACCTGCAACGGAGACACTGCAGGCAAGCATATTGCCTCAAGTGCCTTCTTAGCATTTTCAGAAGTTAGTTCCGTTACAATCATGCTGCATCAAGAGTTGCAAAGACGATAAAGGTATCAATACACATGAATATTAAACATGAAGATGGCATTCAAACAACAACAATACCTGAGAGCTTCAACCAGATGCAATGAATCCTCAGCAGAAACCTTGAAAGTGCCTTCACCACTTACTGCTCTTTCATATATTTGAAAGATCCCATCCATATATCTGTGAAGTTCTTTCTTGCAGTCTACATACAATTTTAGTGTTAGCATGTCTAGATCTCAGAGGTAAAATGCTCTATTAGTACTTCAGCATGTTGAATATGTATCAAAAAGGAAAACAATGCCTTGAGACATTTCCAATAAATGTAGGGAATGTCTAACAAGCAAGAAATAAAAACTTAACAAAAAAGCCAAAGTCTAAGACTTGCAGCTATACAATACATATATTTTTATAGTCAGCTTCAAGGGTCTCGATGGTGCCTATAAATTTCCCTCAAATGTAGGGAATATCTAAAATATGGTAAAAATGTCCACAAGTTGGTCATTGGAATTAAGGGTGTGCTGATTTCATTTGACAGAAATTTATGTTGCATAAAATTGTTAATGTTAGTCTCATATCTAAATGCCTGAAAATCATGATGTATTAATATGATTTTGGGTTGAAGTAGCTAACCGATAAGATTTGTTTTTTAGTGTGCTTTGGCCTAAGAGACTTATGGCCCTATTGAGTAATATCAACCTAATCTTGCATTCAATTATGAAAAACCAGAGTTTGGCCCACTTCGTTTATTAGACAATCCACCACTCTGCCTAGAAGCACATTCCTAACACCTCTAAGTTTTCAGCCCAAATGTTTGACTGAAAGTCAATTTCAAGTGCCCCAAACCCATTTAATTCGACTTTCTTTCTAATAGTCATTAAGCTGTTTCCACTACATTTCAAAACTTTGTTTGATGAGGAAACTCTATATGCAAGTGGCTAACCGGTTAAATTCAGAATGACTCTGTTGGGCCAGCTTGAGCACTTACCTTGCATCCTGAACAAAATTTGACCTTGTATAACTAGTAGACTGCCTTGTATGTGCATCAATGGAAGCAATAATGTGAGGGTGACCTTTGTTTTCATATACTTATTCTTTTCCACAGGACCGCTTAATATATTTTTGAATGTTAATAAGTGCATCCCAATGGCGTTCATATGGATAAATAAGAAATTGACTTAACACCGACTGCTTAAGTAGTATCTCATCTCATTATAACGAGACAATTCATCTTGCCCTCAAGTCTTTGATATTGCTATGATTCAAACTTCATGATATGGCTTTGCCTTGGTTTGCAATTTAGGGAGCTAGTTTCTTTGAAGAGTGCATATTTCATTGGCATATAGAAACACATGTTAAAGACTAAGCCACCTGAATAGCAAGAAAGTATTGTAATCGCCCAACTCCAAAGATCCAATGTCTAGAAGTTACAAGAAAATGTTATTTGAGAAATAATTTCTTTAGAGTCATTACATGTTGCAATAATATAATCCAGACACCCACATAAACCACCAAGTAAATAACGCTATGAGATGTCAAGTGTCTGAAGAATACATTATCAACCTCGCTGTGAATCATTTTGAATTTCATTTAGACTTCCTAAACATTACAACCAAACCACATAGGAATTGCTTTCAACAATACAACGACATTCGGAGTTCACACATGATGCCCGACTCCAAATAGATTTCCACTTTCAAAGTATAATGTAAGCAAGCATTCTTCATATCAAGCTGACATAACTAGCCAATGAGAAATAGCTAATATAGACAAAATGAAACTAATAAATGATATTTTAGCACTAGGGAAAATATCACTAAAACTTACCCCACAAATCTGAGTGTATCATTTCACCACAAGATGAACTTTGAAACGATCAAATGTTCCATCATATATCATTAAAAATTTAGCCTTAAATTTTCCGCTCTCTTCACTCAACTCACCTCCTTTCATAGAATAATTGCAAGGGCTGTCATTGCTTGAATTTTAAAGGGAATAATGCTGGCATTCTGTCCGTTCTCTCTTTTGTTCATTCCATTTGAAGTTGTCTTCTTTTTTGAAATAGTCTACCATTTGTGGTGTAATTTTTCCATTTATGGTGATTCTATCCCCCTTTGCAGTATTTCTCTAAGACTTATATCAAGTAGAAAACCAAAACAATTTCAAGAGAAGGGAAGATGATTCTTTCAACTTGCAGCATTTCCAGTGATGGTCTCCGACATGAAAGATGCTTAGACATTGAAGAGAGCCCAACGTTAAGGGGTAGAGCCACCTTCCATATTTCAATTCAAAAGAATGAATGCATTTACTTTGTTCTTATTAGTTCTAGATCAAAGCTCTTTTTCAATGGTTGCAAGTTTTGCTAGGTTGTTTCTTGAATGAAATTTTATTTTCTATGAAAATAAAGTTCAGACCTTACATCAAAACCAAATTTGACTGCAAAGGCCCCTCTACAACCAACAAGAACTACCCTTGGGGAGATGAAACAATAGTTCAAATATGAATAAAACCAAGTGCTTCAATTTCTTCAATTATTGCATGTTGCCAACCTTGATGGGAAAGTGCCTCAATTTAACTTTTTTGAATAGTATTTAGTAATAGAATCTAAGAAACACCCAAAATCAAACTAAATGGAAGATAAAACGGAAATAACTCAAAAAATTATAAATAGGATGAAGGCTACGAGGAGAACATATACCTTTGTGAAGTGCAATAGGGAAAGCAGAACTTGGTGGAGGGGACCCTCAAGCCTACAGAGATGATGGAGCTGGTGAGGAAACATAAATAGGCAATGTGGGAACCTCCACAGGCTTGTCTGGTTGAGGTCGTCGAGGGTAAGTGAAACGGAAGGGGTCTATTGATAGCGAAGTGGGAATATGAATGGATTCTGGAACAGGCACGGCATGAGATTGGTTACCAATACCTGCGGCTTGGACTTTTGAGCCATTTGAAGATAGGTTACCAATACAAAATGCTGGAAGCTAGGTTATCAATACCGCTGCTTGGACTTTTGAGCTGTCAGCGAGAGTAACACGGTGATGTGTTTTGGTAGGGGATAGTGTATAGATATTAAAAAAAAAGTTAGCAAATGTGAAGGTAACAAACTGTTTTACTGACCAAATCATTTTCATTAAAAAACGTGTGACCTGTTTTCACTAAAACGAAACAGTACAAAGAGTATTAATTCTGAAACAGACCACATTCTTGTGTTGAGTGTTGCAAACTATTCTCTTTTAATTAGAGATACTCCATTATTTAAGTTAAGAAGGCCCTAAAATGGATGAAGAATAGCACAGTAGTGGGCCCAGACAACATCTGGATTGAGGCTGGGAAAGGTTCAGGAAGAAAAGGCATTTGGTGGCTAACTAAGCTTTTTAACAAGATTCTAAGATCTAAGAAGATGCCTCACGAATGGAGGAATAACATTTTGGTTCCTATTTACAAGAATACGGGGGATATTCAAAGTTTTGGAAACTACATAGGGATCAAGCTCATGAGTCATACGATGAACTTGTGGGAAAGAGTGGTAGAACAGAGGTTAAGAAAAGAGGCTCTGGTCTCAGAGAATCCATTTTGGTTTTATCCACAGAGGCTATATACTTGGTGAGGACTCTGAGGAGAATGTTGGAGAGGTACCGAAATGAGAAAGATGAAGGTCCTTATCATAGTTATTAATGGCGAGGGGCGAGGGGCGGGCGAGAGGACCTTTTTTATGGCGAGAGGCGGGCGGTGAAATGGCGAACATACATACATACATACATATGTATGTATGTGTGTGCGTGTATAAAGTATGTTACTATATGTATGTATGTATAAACACATAATATTGATAATATATATATATATATATATAATGGAGTATATCTTAAAGCCTTGAGGCAGTGATTGAGGCGAGAAAAGCGAGAAAGGCGACCGCCTTAGGCGCGCCTTAGGGATCTTGCCTCGCCTGGCTTCCTTGAGGCGCTAAGAGCTCGCCTGGTCGCCTGAGGCGCCATAGGCGAGAGAGGCGAGCGCCTTTAATAACTATGGTCCTTATATTGGCTATTTAAGAGTGTTGAAGTATCATGAACAAAAAGATGAACAGTACTAGAAGAAGAAATAAGGTCCTTGACCAGAGGGATCCTTATTTAGAATGACTCTCTAACCATCTTCATTTCAAAAGTAGAAATATGGGGATATTGTATCTTCAGCTTGACTAATATATAACAAAAGGGGATCGAATGCAGAGTGACAATTCTTTAAGTGTAGAGAATGTCTAACAAGCACAAATAGAAAGCCAAAGACTAAAACTAACAGTTATACAACACATATTTCAAATGAATTTAAATAAAATCATGAAATAAGCAACTACGCTGTCAACATATAACAAAACTACTGTCTACTCTAGCCAATGCCTAAACAGCAACGTTCTTGAGCAAAGGACTGCATAAATAGCACACACTGTACAGTAAGAAACACGAAAAGTTCACTAATAGGCAAGGAAAAAGATATAAACTTTGACTTGTACTTTACAAAAATTCATGGTATACATATTATACAGTAAAATATAGAAAACTGTTTAATACATAAATATGGAGTCAACTAACAAAACACATACCACTGCATAAATTTTTGAATGCCAAAGCAGCCGCAGCTGCAGAATCTTCACACATATTCATGCTACTCACTAGGATATCTAGGAGTGAGGGCAACAATGAGGACCCATTTGTGGAAGCATCAAGCCATTTTGAATAAGCTCCTATAGTTGAGCAGACTAAAAAAGAAAGTGGCATATGAGATTATGACTGAAAGATCGGTCACAGTAAACAATTGTGAAACAAAATCAATCGACTTTAAGAGATAATATGGAATACAAATTAAAAAAATATCAGTGCAAAGAGACAAGTATAAACTATAAAGATGCAAGATTAGGAATAGTAAAGGCACAGAATAATATTAGTATTTTACCGGTCTGAAGTAGTTCAGATTGATGAGGGAGCTTAGGCAGCAAGGACATGATCTGCACGCAAAAGACCAACAACAATTATGCTGCTTTAGGAAATTTGAAACAGATTTGTGGTTTTGTGTATACCAGGATAGACTTGATGTTTCCATTTGTTTTATGAGTTCATCTTTCACATACCTGAGGCATCACTTCCACATCTCTAATAGAAACAAAATCTGATATTGCTCCTATACAGTACAAGGCAGCCTCTGCTGGACGCCAGTCCGTTCCACAACAACTGACTGCCTACAACAAATAATCAAAGGATAAATTTCAAGGGTTACAAATATGTACAAGGAACTGCAAAAGGCAATTACAAAACTCGGGACGATACCATAAACACAATGAATAAGTTTCCATACATCTAAAATACAACTTCTTAGTCGTGTTCCGTTCTTTTTTTATGTTCCAAAAGCACAACCCCCCCCCCCATGGTGTTGTTGATTGTTATTCAAGATTACATTTTTAGTAAAACCTGCTCACCCATTGGCCGCTAGGTCATGAGTTCAAGTTATGAAAACAAACCAACCATCCCAATGCATCACATAATCTGGGAGCCATAAAACATTATGATTGGGTACTTGAATATATATAATTACTTAGTAGTTGAGTGATCCAGCAAGGTCACTAAAAAAATACAATAGCTTGTACTTGCTTAACACAACTTACGCTACAGATACTCAAAATTCCCAATAAAAAAATACTCCCTCTGTCCACCATAGATCTTCTTAGACACTAGACACTATTCACAGGGTCAAATTTAGTTCACTTTGTTTGTTTATTTTTACTACTCATTTCATCAAATAATATAGTGTTGTCACCTCTAGTTTTGTAGAACTTTTCATGTAGTTTATTACTACATAGATTTTATACTAATATTTACCCCTATATTCAAATAAATTGAATTGAAAATAAAGTCGGTCAAGCCTCGTAATGCGTAATGGGAAGATCTTAGGTGGACGGAGGGAGTATAAAACATGATTGAAGTGTGAAAAGAGAGAAATCATTTAAATTGAAGATGCAATGACTATCAAACAAAACAGTAAGACCAATCGAGGTGTCAATCCACCCACGTCAAATTTTAAGACCAGTAGCTCTTCTAGTCATTAGCTTCACATCTTTATAAGAACCTTGATACAAACTAAGGGCTTGTTCTCTTCAACTTATCTGATTGGTTCTGATTTGATCTGATTGTAGTTATATTTAAAGTTGTTTCTGATTACAATAAGAATAAGTAATAAGTAAAAAAGAATAAGTTGAAGAGAACAAGCTCTAAATGGAATTCAAGGAATCAAATTCATTCAAAAAGGATAGTGCAGAGTTTTATTCCAGATGCCCTTTATCTTGTAAACTTAACTACAGTTATCTACAATCAAAGATAGCTCTATTTACCTCAACCAGCTTCATATAGAGAATTTTCAACGTAGCCTCCCCCCCTAAAACCAATGCTGCATCAATTAAGGCATCTGCGACAGCTGGCAACATTTCATTGTCCATCAGCATAATATAAGAATACTCGACTGTTGTGTTCACTACAAAAATGAGTTGGGAAATGGGACCCTTTTTATGAGACGGGGGGAGTAACTTATACGCACAAAAGTGGGAAGCAAGTATTGGTTAGGTACCTCAAAATGTAATGAACAGAGATGAGAAAGAAAAGACCTTATAGCATGAAAGAAAAAAATTATGACGTGGCGAAAAGGATAATTAAATCAACAAACAAAGACAGATGACACAACTGCGGCTCAACAGGTTCCCTCCGACAGCATTTCTGAGGAAGATAAAAATCCAAACAGTGGGGAGACTCATGGTGGGCTGATGGAACTCAACGGGAGTAATGATCTTTAATTTAAAAGGCAATGGGCCCAATAACTACATCTACAAAAACTCTGAAAAGAGAGAACATCACAACTGCAATACAATAGTCTAGTAAGCACCTCAACACCTTGCTAAGTCAGCAAAGAGTTTGAAGCCCGGGGCCATTGATAAAAGTGTTAGAAGCTCAAATATCAAAACACACCAGAAGTGCTTTGAGTGTATATTAGTCAATAAGAATAGGAAACACAGATTTCATGTAATTTGGAATGTTGTAAACTGTTTTAATCAAGCATCGTACCAAGCCATGGCCATGGCCACGTGGGGAGACTCATACGTATTAGCCTGTTTTAATTTGGGCCATCTTCATCATGTTGAAGAAAAACAGTAGCATATTAAACAATACATTGCACTCGTTTATACCACAGAATAGATATCCACCAACATGGTGCATCTGAAAGGTTATATAAGGTATATAGTATGAGCAAAGTAATACCATATCTAATCTGCTTGAAATCCTTTTGGTCCTCTTTCGAAAGATCTGAGTAATCTTGAGGATACTGAACCCGGAAGGTGACCTATGAGTCAAATACAGTTAATTAATGAACAATATTTTGCTAGTCCACAAACAAATGATTTAGGAAATTCAAGCTTCTTTTCTTTAACAATGACAATTATGTTAGCAGCTCCAAACATACTGAATAAGAGACAATGATTCAAAGTCTATTTCATTGCAATAAAATCTCCTCTATAAATTAGAATTATGCCAATGAATGTACATTATAAACCTTAATGGGAAGTGGACATTGATTGTAATTTGTGTAACAAAGAGGATGAAGATATACTGCATCTTTTCCATAAATGTTCTTATGCTTATGCAGTGCAACATAATGTATTTAAATGGCTTAATAGTAATTAGAGATCTAGCAGTCTGCTAGAAGTGGAACAAGAGATTGCGAGAGCCAAAGGAAAAAGAAGACAGATCTTAAGTGGAGCCTATGCTGCTAACTGTTATACAGTTTGGAGAACCCGGAATAAAAAGATCCATCAGAAGATACTGATCTTAGAGGAGGAGAGTATTGCTTGGGTTAAGTTTAATCTTAAAACGTTTATCAATTTCAAACTGAAGAAAGTGTACTTAAATTGAGTTGGTTATTGCTAGTTGTTTTTGGATGGACTACCAACTCGCAGATTGAGGAAATAGTAGCTCATTTGTGTAGAGATTGTGTTTGATGTACTGAATGTTTTTTATGACTAGTAATATATGCGCATTTTGGTTCAAAAATAAGCGATGGACATGACATGCAATTCATATCAAACTTATGGGCAGAGAACACACCAATGAAACAAGTGTCTCGTATGATGAGCGGAAGACCTGCAATCTGCGATTTCCCTCTGCCACACTTGCTGCTTCACCACCAAGCTCTTGATAGGAATCCCTATTAGGCTTAAAACAGAGAATATAAAAATCATTGCATAGAGTACCCTAAGAGAGAAGATATGAATTACCTTTCAATCAATGCCAATTGAAGATTATGCCAAAAGTTGAATGACATTGAAGCAATATGAAATTCAGGATGTGAAGTGACTTCAAGCAATGCATGCACAATAAGCATCGCTTCCTCAGAACCTGCATATAGGTATTCATCCAAGAGAGAATGCATTAAATGACACATTCCCACTAATAATGCATTTTATCCTGACCACAACTTTCCTCGGATAAGGAATTTAAAACAAAACAAAATACCTACCAGTTGCAATTATTTCAACATATGCATCACCCATATCAGCAAATAAACGAGCAATGGCTTTTACATCCTCCTCATCCTAAAAGTTGAAATCAAGAAAACAGGGTTAGTAAATTTTTTAGTCCAAGAAAATGAGAGATACTATGGTCTTAAATAGTGATCTGAAACTAAAATGTCTATATAAATTTCCTTCAAAAATCAAATTAAATCAGATAGATGGAGGAGCAGGCAGGCGGTGTTACGGACTTTGGCATTGGTTGGTGAAATCACACCACGAGACGGCAGAATTTAGGAATGTGTTCGATAAATTTTTACGTATCCCATGTACCTCCCTGCATTTGTCCTCAGTGTGACAAATTTTATACAGAAATCACAGTTGAGTTTCTCATGCAATCATCAGCAGGCAGTATTACCGCATTTGGCAACGACAGGCGGCAAGGAAGGAGGCACCGCTTGATGAAGAAACTATTTGATTGGTTTATTTACTTTCCTGTTTTGTTCACAATTAGTTATTTGTTATGACTCCTTTTTTAAGGGTGTTATGACTCCTTTATTCAGCAACAAGATATTGGTTGGGTAATTTTTTATTTGGAAAGAATCCCCGTTTCCAAATCACTTAGGCAATGGAAACAAACTAATGATCATTCGAATAAAGAATGTAAGTTCTTATTTCTTCACCCTTGTCTCCCCCATGTAATATTCATCTTTTTTCGCTAAAACATCATAGAAAAGAGTTCTTCCTTTGTTGCGCAAAGGCCTAGAGGCTATAACGAGAAGTTTATCCAACAAACATAATTGTTTCCTTCATGACCCATATCTTAAGTGTGTGACACAAGAACTGTGGCACAGTGGCTTCTAGAAATGTTATCCAAATAAAAACCCCAACCAATAGTTTGGTAATAAAGTACAAACAGAGATAGGCGGAGGAGATAGCGGAAGCCAATTAAAGCAATCGGCAAGGGTTGAAGAATATGGGTGGAAACAATATGACAACTGTGCTTGGGGTCAACAGTGGAGTCACTGGGTGGTAATGGCATCTGGGGTTAAAATTTGGTGAAAAACCAGATCAAATTTATATAGCGCAAAAAATAATTTTAGTCCTTCACTTGGTTTGTACAATAGCCGTATTTGGGGTGGAAGGGACACATGCTTTGTATTTCTTACTGAATCATCTCTCTCTTCCACATCAGGGTATACATATACCAATTTGCCAACTTATTACAATAGCAACATGGAACAAAGCATCATCCCACTGGGTGGGGTTGGCTACATGGATCAAACAATGCCATTGCGCCCTATTTGTTGTGAGATCACTCACGCGAAGGTCTCTCTTGATCAATACTTGCCAAGCCCTCTTACGTCTACCTCTTCCTCTAGCCACATGCCTATTCACCATTTGATCAACTCTTCTCTCCACATGTCCAAACCACCTAAGACGCGTTTCCACCATCTTTTCTACAATAGGTTCCACTCCAACTTTTTCTCTCATATCTTCATTCCTTATTCTATGCATATGTGTATGACCACTCATCCAACAAAAAATTCTTCATTTCCGCCATACTAATCTTGTGGTCATGTTCACCCTTTGTTGCCCAACACTCTATTCCATATAATATAGCTGGTCTAATAGCAGTATGATAAAATTTTCTCTTTAGTTTTAAAGAAACTTTTTTGTCACGTATAATGCCCTAAGCACTCCGCCATTTTGACCAACCGGCTTGAATCTTGTGGTTAACATCATCCTCTATTTCTCTATTGTCTTGAATGATACACCCAAGATATTTAAATATCTAGTGGTATCGTATTTTCTCCGACTTTCACCTCCATGTTACTATTTCTCTTTGTGTTGCCAAACTTGCACTCCATATACTCTGTTTTAGTGCAACTTATATGCAAGCCATGCAACTCCAAAGCTTGTCTCCATGCATCCAACTTCCCATTCAAATCCTCGCGTGATTCGCCTATATAAGGATGATGTCATCGGCAAAAAACATGCACCATGGTACGAGTTCTTGAATATGCTCGGTAAAAACGTCCAATACTAGTGTAAAAAGATATGGGCTTAACGATGACCTTTGGTGTAACCCAACACTGATGGGAAATTCTCTTGTTACCCCACTTTGACTTCTCACGCTTGTTGTAGCATCATCGTACATGTCCTTAATCATACAAATATAAGCAATCCTTACTCCTTTTTTTCTCAAACACCTTCCACATAACTCCTATCATATAACTTTTCCAAATCAATAAAAGCCATGTGTAAATCTTTCTTCTCACTTCGGTACCTCTCCATCATTTTCCTCACCAAGTATAGAGCCTCTATAGTTGATCTTCGTGTCACAAAACCAAATTGGTTCTCTAACACCGAAGTATCTTGGCTCAACCTCCGTTCAACCACTCTTTCCCACATTTTCATCGTATGACTCATAAGCTTGATCCCTCTATAGTTTCCATAACTCTAAATATTCTCCATTCTTGTAAATAGGAACCAAAATGCTCTTCCTCCATTCGTTAGGCGTCTTCTTAGATTTTTGAATCTCGTTAAAAAGCTTAGTTAGCCACCAAATGCCTTTTCCTCCTAAACCATTCCAAACATCAATAGGATGCTGCTTTGGAATTCTTCATCTGTTTTAGGGCCTCATGAACTTCAGTTTCTCATGTTCTCCACAGTAATTGAAGTTTTGGTCCTCCTCCCTTGTGTGTAGCCGATCGGAGCATGAGAGATTTGCATGAGAGATTTGGTCCTCCTCCCTTGTGTGTAGCCGATCGGAGCATGAGAGATTTGCATGCCCATTATTAAACAGATCATTGAAGTAACTCGTCCACCGGTCGTTTAAGCTTCCATTGGAGACCAAAACTTCACCATTCTTATCTTTAATGTACTTAACTTGGTCCAAATCCTGCATCCTTCTTTCTCGACCCTTTGCAATCATGTAAATACATTTTTCCCCTTTTTTCGTACTCAACGATTGGTAAAACCCTTCATGCGCTCTCATTTTTGCTTCACTTACAACCACTTTTTTCTCTGTTTAAGCTATCTTATACCTTTCTCAACTTTCCACATTATGTCATAGGACCACACCTTGAAACGTTCCCACTTTACCTTTACCTTCTCTTTCACACTAGTGTCCCACCATGATTCTTTGTCTCTTACATTAGTGCCCTTAGTTTTCCCAAGGGTTTCTTTTGCCACCTTTCTAATAAAATGAGCCATATCACACTATAACTCTTTTGCACTTCGATTTCCATCCCATTTTGCTTCTTCTACTAAACAGTGTTGGAAATACATTTGCTTATCACCTTTTAACAGCCACCATCTAGTCCTTGGGTTCCCCTCTGCGTGACTTCTCCTTACCTTTTGTTGGATACGAAAGTCCATGGCGAGCACTCTATGTAGAGTGGTTAAACTCTCTTCGGGAATAATTTTGCAATTATACTTTTCCCAACTTACTACAACCATTTTTTAAATAAAAAATCATTTTTAAACTCATAATATAAATTATTTTTTAAAAACTTTAAATATTTACTACAATAATTTTTAAAAAAATTAAACTGTAAACATTTAATTAACACGATAACAACACAATAAGATTTCATTAATGTAAACGAAACTACAATACTACATAAAAGAAAATACCAATCCAAAACAAACAAAAACTAAAAAACAACAATAAAACATAGAAATAGATACCAATATACATAGATTTTAACTATTAATTTAAAACAATTTTTTAATGTATCAAAGAGAGAGACCAGCATGTTTGGCAAATCCATAACTACCATACCGATATATTTTGGTACCAAAAGTATAGGGGTGGTGTTACCCTCTATGTTAATTTGCCACATAGATAATTTTTTGTACCAAATGCATTTTTCCGATCCCATACTGTTCACCCTTATAGCTAAAATAATAACGTCAAGATATCATTATGACCTAGCTAATGACTAAATCAATGATATCATCTCTTAAGAGCTGTGTTTGTTTTCACACCTATTTTTCCACAACATACTAGGATATGCATTGTATTCCTTCAGGATTATCATTTGCCACAAATCATATTACTACCTTTCTGTAATACAAGTTTCTTTTATAGTGATATGTGGACTAGCATATTGCACCTTACTAATGCCACCTCATACTTTCTCAATGTTCAATAGTAAGCAGCTAGCACATAGAATCTGGTATGATAACAAAAGCGTTAGATGATTAGGGGAAATTTGTTCTTCAAGCCCAATTAGCCTAATAAACCTTCCCTGAGAATATAACAAACACTTCTCGCATAAAACAATTCAGATTAAATTCCATAGAATGACCTTAGAGATAAAGGTTTTCCACATTTAGTCCATTGGACACAATAATACCAGTCCTAGTCCTACATATTTGAGAATCTTTCTGCATGTCGCCATCCGTCATACCACTTTAACTAGATGTCAAAATAGAGAGTAGTTTTGTCATTTCATTAAACCTTGGCAAACCTTACCCTACATTTCTGCAAGAGGTTGCTTTGAGGACTCAAACTTGTGACCACACGGTCACAAGGTAACAACTCAACTGTTGCACCAATGCTCCACTTCATCAAAAATAACATGTGAATACTACCAAAATATCAATACCTTCGAAGAATCTCTCAACTGAGGTTTTAAACTCATAACTTGAGGAACAATTACTTGAATCAAAGGCATTTGAGAGGAGACTCTATCTGAATCTCTTACACACGTATAGTGTATTAGTTCAGAAACAACTGCAAAAATGATAAAATAAATAGTAAATGTGTATAAACTTGAACAAATTAGTTAAGGAGCACTAAAATTGTGATCAAATATAAAGGCAGGACTTAAAGAAACTATAGGCATGAAAAAGGCGAGGGGGCCACTCATTATATTTGCATTGAGAAATGATGAAAACTAGGTTGTATGTGATATCAACTATACCAAAATTACGCGTGTGTTCAAGCACAAATGTGCATACAATCTTAGACCGAACTATAAGAATATGGGGAGCCAAGAGACAAATTGATGTTAAATTTGCCTCCTAAAAATAAAGAGTTCAAATACACGAATAATGTGTAAGGTATTCAACAGATTCTCAAATTATTATAAGCTCCAAGCATGTTAGAAATATACTCAACATTGGACCCACTTGGCAATATAATTAAAATGATGGTTAGTTTATCAGTGGTTCTAATGCCAATGGAGAGCTGAGTCATTTTTAGTATGTTTTAGCTTGAAGTAAATAATGTACTAAAGAAATATGGTAATTGAACTTCCCTTGTTTCTTACTTTCCATGAAATTTTGAGTAGTAAAAGATGTAGTGCATTAACTGCCTAACAAAAACAGTCTCCTTGTCTTTTACACTAGTAAAGTTGCGTACATCTTGCCCCCCTGCCCCGCCCCCAATGTTGGGATTAGACTGTATTTATTTTTATTGCGTTGGTTAGCTAATCACTAAAAGCAACAAATAATTTGATCTAGAAGCACTTTTTTCTTGTATGGGATAGAAATCAAATTTGATTTGTTTAAATTTTACGATAAACTTGATTGGATGAAATGTCTAATGAAGTTTTTGATTGTCACAAATGAATAATTCTGCCCAGCTTGCACAATTTATATTCGATACGAAGATGTTTCAATCAACTCAATGGTTAAAACATGCAAAATGCATATCATTGAATACTTGGAAACTTTGGAAGTTGTTACATTGCAGCAAACCATGTTTGGACTTTGGAGTACCCAGCTTTACAGAACTATAGTCCTAGGGTGGGATTTTATTCTCTGTTTTAGACTTTACTTTATGATATCTTGTCTACTTTTTGTATCTACTCTCAACATTTATTAGAATATTGGGTTTGTTATTCGATTTCCAAAGAAATTGAAACTGATAAGAAAACTGTGTAGGAAACTTAAGTGTCCTAAGGCAGTGTATGGGAGAGGACAAATCTTTATTGCCTCAGTGTATGTCACACTTAAGCCCTTAATAAAAAAACAAATACTACTTGTATAACATATGCACATGATCATCATAAGCTTCCGGCAATGTTACTATAAAACGAAATAAAAGCTGAAAACCACCTCAAAGTTATGGATATTACCATTTACAGATGCCTCTAACAGTATATCTGAATGTAAGCTCGTGAGAGCGGCAAGTACTAAAGGGTGTGAAGCAAGAGTTGCTGCAGGAATTCTGAAACCAACAAAAACATCAACAAGTTAATAAAACAAGTTTAAGTGCAATACAGCCTGGCATTGACTATATCAAACTTTGTACCCCCAAACAAACAACAACCCAATATAACCCCAACGTTGTTGTGGTCTGAGGGTCAAGATGTACGCAGTCCTACCCACCCCACCCCTCGTAAAAAAGAGGATCATTTTGTTAGACTAGCCGTAGACCTAAGCGATAAGGCGTGGTCAGTGTTCCTTGAAAATCCTGATAAGGCGTGGTTAGCGACTAGGCGATGTAAGGTCGCCTAGGCGATAAGGCGTTGTTCCTTGGACGCCTAGTCTGCTCGCCTCGCCCAGAAATTCTTAAGGCATTCAGGCGCTCGCCTAGGCGTCGCCTTACTCTCGCCTTGACGCCTTGGGCCCCTTTAAAATTTTGAAAAGCTCAATTTTTTTAGTGCAGCCGAATTATTTTGAAAGCCTAATTTAAAATGTTTAAAAAGATTTGACTTAAACTTTTGACCTACGATATTGTGTGTGTGTGTGTGTGTGTGTGTGTGTGTGTATTAGGGAACTATATCAAAAGAGAGGAGTCAGGCGGTTTCCATTTCTACAGAAGTCCTTGATCCCCCAAGTCCTTGATCTCCAGAAGTCCTTGATCACACACACACACACACATATTATATATATATATATATGTATGTATGTATGTATATCATAGTTATCATGTCGCCAAGGCCAGTCGCAGCGCCAAGTGTAACGCCATGACGCCTAGGCGTCTAGGCGACTGCCTAGGAGACTAAGGCGACTAGTAGTACATTAGTAACACTAATATAAGTATATCGCACTATATGTTGTAGATAAATTTTAAATTTCAAATTCAGCAAACATTTAACATCCAAATGATAAAATTTATGTCACAACAAAGTCTCAAAAACCCTCAAGAAAAGCAGAATTTTAAAAGTCATTGCTTGACAACAGTCTCAAAAATCTTCAAGAAAACAGTAATGCTCTATAAACCTATTTAAAACACATAATTTAAAAAATAATATCAATTATTCCAGCCATTTAGAAAACATATACAAACATTTAATTTTTTATAAAAGAACATATAAAAAATTAAATCAGCAGAGAAACATTTAAAAAATTATTTAATGTGGCAGAGAAAGATTAAAAAAATAATTTAATGTGGAAGGAGAACAACTTCATTTTTTTTTAACGAAAGGAAGGTTAAATCATTAATAATAAAAAAACCCTAAAAAACACTGAAGTGGAGGAGTGAAACCTTTTCAATAAACTATTAAATAAGGATCTAAAAATAAAAATATAAATAATTATAAGAATAAAAAGAGTAAACTTAAGCTGAGAAGGCAGGCACGATTTCCGAAAGAGAGAAAAACGACGACCGAGAGAAGATTGCGATCCAGCGCAGTGACGAGGTAGGGAAACAGGATCGCAAGCAATCTTTAATTCTCGATCGATTATTAAAGTAGGTTTTTTATTTTAAGATCAATTGGGCTTGAGATAAGTTATTTTTAAAATTGGGCATCCCAGAAAAACATGAATTGGGGTTTGGGTTTTTTTAATTCACTGCTTAAGTCGCCTAAGTCGGAAAGCCTGGACGTCTCTATGGCGATGATTTTTAGGCGGATCAAATTGGAAAGGCAAGAAAAAACTTCCGACTGGGCGCCTAGGCGACAGCGTAATAACTATGATATATATATATATACACATATACATATACACACACACACACACATATGTATATAGACACACACACACACATATATATAGGACGCCTAGGCGATATGAAGGTACATTGGCGCCTTGCCTTGGCACCTTACAAACTATGCGTCATCTTCATCAAATCTAGCTGATCTATCACCAAAAGGTAGGAGAAAGGGCATCATCAATGCAAAATAGCCACTGGGACACCAGATTTGCACTCATCGAATGTGTTATGACTCCATGAAAGGAAGAAGAAAAGAGATACTCTATAATCCGTAAAAATTATCTCATTTGTGTCATAGTTATCACCTCTCCCCATGGTGTATCACCTCGCCTTATTTCGCATCACTCACCTAGGTGTAGCCTTGGCTAGGCGTCTACGAATCACCTTTTGAAAATCTTTTAAGCCAGTTAGTGACTTTTTTCATACTCAATATTTACTTTGCACTAAGAAGACGCATATTGTGTGTTAATCATATTTCATATTTCATATTCTTCTTTTTTCTCATATTATGGTGTGTTTATATTTTTTAAAGTATGTGTATTTGAAATTTTGATTAAGTTTAGAGAACACGCATGTTTATATTTAAATTAGTGTTACTTAGTGTTACTAATGCATACCAAATTACCAATCTTGATCTCTTATGTCTTGCCGCCTTGGTTGCCTAATTGTTGCCTAGGCACTGCCTAGTCATCTAGGCATCATGGCGGTACACTGAAGCCGCGCGTCGGCTTGGCGTCGTAATAACTATGATTTGTGTGGATGAAAAGAGATATTTTGTACTATCTCATTTGGGTGGATGAACTGTACATTTAGTTAGGGGCAAATAGGTCCATATATTATCATATAATACTTTACCCAAAATAGAAAGTGGACAAATACAATAGGACGGCCCAAAAAGGAATACTGTACAAAAACACGGGGACGGAGGGAGTGTGTTACTGCTATAGCCAAGAAGTCTAATTCACCCCACTATACAGAACCCCATAGCAACCGAGTGCCACTCTGCCCTGCCCTACCATTAAAGTGTTGTGATTGTGCGTTTTTTATAGAACAATTTGCAACAGGTTTGGCTTCTAAATGTAATACCCACACATTATGAATGTAGAAATACCACCACCTCCCCCCCCCCCAACTCATTATATTCCAATAAGCATAGAATAAAAAGCTCCATTTTCATGGATAGGTGGTGTAAGTGATTATCAGTCAATAGCAAATAGAGTTAAAAAAAATCAAGCACAAGATACATTTCAAATTAGAACTACAAGATATAGAGAGAAGTAGTACCTATGTCTTAAACGCAGCCAAGAGGCAAATGCCTCCAGGACCTATGCAGCCCATGAATAAAGAAACAAGATGTCATTATTGCTTGAACATTTGTGGTAAGATAACTAATAAACTAAAGAACAGGGTCAACCAAAGCTTGAGAACTTTATTAACTATTATAATGAAGTCCGATGGAGATCCTATCAGTGCTTTTACACAATTGAAGCCCCGCTTTATTTTTTGGTAAATCGCAAAAAACATCGAACTCTAGAAGTGAAAGGAAAATATGATAGTTGGGTGAACATCTAAACTGCTTTACCGAAGTTTTTAAAAGCAGTTTAGTGAAATTACAAAAAATTGAAAACTTTAGTCAATTTTTAATCACACATTTCACTTCACACTAGTAAGCTTGAAAATATGGCACATATCTTGCATTACTACTTTCGTAGACTTGGAGGTTCAAATGGATCAGTTCAACATGAAAAACATGGATTAACTAGAAAGAACAAAATACGAAAGAGAAGAACATGAGATGACAACAATTAGACTTCATTTGGGCGTGATTTTTATACACCATTAAAATATAAATAAAAAAGAACCCCTTTTAAATAGGCATATTCATGAATGTAATGACTCAAAAAGCTTTTTCTTTCCCTTTCAAATGAAAAGTCTTTTTCCTACATAAATAATATACTTTATCCATCACATTGAAAGAGTCCTATTTCTTAACATATTTTTGTCACAAAAAAAACTTCAATTTGAGAAAAATCAGAAATTCCATCATATTTAATACAGCATTTTTTATTAAGATGTCTCTTAGATACATTGAATGTTAAATTTAGTTAAAACAAGGAGAAAAATTAAAATATAGATTTATATATGATTTTCAATAGTTGTGCATAACAAATATTAACAGGTTGTGCATATGTGAACAAGGCTTACGAGATGGAAGAAGTAGTTGGTATGGCAAAGAAATGCAAAGAATACCTGCTCCTTGAGTTCACTGACATTCAAGCATGCAGACAAGATGGAAAGGGCTGTGTCTATTGCAGACTCAAGTTCTTTTTCAAACTGGCGACGTCTATCAGGACGTGCAGCTATCTTGTAGTTGTATGCTTCCTGATAATTTGAACGATAATCACAGCCAAAATTGAAAATAAAAACTAAATGTGATGGCAGAATGAAGGTTTTTGAGTTCAGGAAAAGGATTGGTGATCTAGCATAAAGTTTTCCAGCTTGTAAAACACCCCTAATTATCCTGACTTGAAAATTAATATACCAAGCATTTAACTATTTTGGCAACATGTTAATTATTATCACCCATTCAAGTTTTATCAAATGATCCACATCTATCAATGCAGAAACAGTAATGTACGCCAGTTTAAGCAAATTACAAAGGTCAGATATACACACAAATGCAGACTCCATCTAGAATAAGTGCAATACTATCCACAAACAAAAAATCTTTTCAACTTGAGATACGTTCAAATACCTCAGGCAAGACTCTGATAAGCTCAAGAAAACTTGGTATAAACTCGGGATGAGATTTCATCCCATCTCCAAGCCAATTTATTATGCCACCATCTCCCCAATCTTCAGTAGGAACATGAACAGCCAATGCAGCTACAGCGAGACTGATCTATATTATCAAGAAACTTTAGTATTGAACCATAAAGGTTAAAACATTTACAATTAAATCGGAAGTATTCATGAAGAATGTAAATATTACCTGAGTTCTAACCTTTGGAGGACCTTTATGAAATATTTTTAACAATGTCTGCATCCCAAAGTTAAAAAAGTAAAAAGTGCAAGTTGTGATCACATCAATCCTTTTAAATGAGTAATAATCAGCCACATCCTTTGTAGACTATTATAGAATAATAATGTTGGATACCCTAACCCTAATCGCTTGACACAGCTTAAAATAGCAACAGTGAACTCTAGATTATGTGTATAGATAGGCTAATCCGGCATTCATATTAGATCCTAAAATAGTTAAGGAAGTTTTGTTACGAGGCTTTTACACAACATGGTGACAAGTAAACTATAGCCACATTTACGTGTGGTTTTAACATAAATGTTTTCTTGAAGCACTAACGAATTTTAGTTGGTGAACAGTATGCTGCCACCTATTCAATAATCAAATCATATAGGGGCCTTGTCAGTTTTAACTTAAACTTTTTAATGAGGTCGCACTTGCATGAACCAAGCACAAGTATACACTGTTATTACTTCATTAAATATTAAATCTAGAAAGTACTAATAAGGACCTTTGGATTTGAAAAAAATCATTAGTAAATAAGATTGGAGTTAAAAATCCTGTTTATGGATGTAAAATTGCATCTTAAAAGGTTTAGTTGCATAGTATCCATTTCCCCTACATATGGCGCAACATTTCTCCCCTTTAGGGAAAGGTGATAATTCCACAATGTCAAAACAAAATAAAATCACTCACATTTAAAGAATCGCGAAGTGGACGAAAAGCTTCGGATGGCAGTTCTTCAAAATCCCGTTGAACCTGAATACAAATATTTTACCAAAAATATTTACAGAACTGAATACCTTAAGTAAACTTGCTTCGGAAAATAGTGAAAATCATTGTAAAATACAAAAACTATTAACAAGATTACCTTGCTTTTGAGAGTTTGTGAACAGAAAATTAGAGTCTCTTGATTACTAGAAGCATCATGAAGCAAATTATCAGCCACCTAACAAAAAAAATCCTCAATAGTGAGTGTTATTGATCTACACATAGGTGACAAGTTCAAAAGATGCCACAATGTTCTCCAAAACAAATTTTTCTTTATCTTAAGTTTGATACTAAATCCACTCATTTGAAGGAATATTTAACATTAACTCCTAGGAGAATTATTTCCTCTCAAGAACGATGTTCATGAACAATGTTGTTAAAATCGTGACTTAAATCATAAAACCATACCGCTTTAGAATTCAAATCAAATACTCCCTCTATCCCGAATTAATCATCTTACTTTCCTTTTTCGTCTGTCCCAAAATAAATGTTCTACTTCTTTACTTTCTAAATAAAGTAAAGAATGTGTTCCACAATCTTTCTCTATCTTTTAAACAAATTTCAACCATCCAATCTTTACTTTTCAACACTTTTATTGAACTCTGTGAAGTCAAACTAGGTCAATTAATTTGATACGGAGTGAGAAAATTGATTCAAAAGATATGAAAAATAATATATCTATAAAAGCGTGAAAGCCATAATAGAAGTAGAATCTCATAGAACTACGTCCATTGCAAGTGAATCTAAAAGAGTCATTTTTTACAATGTTTTGGCTTCGGGTGAATAATGAACAAAATCAAGATGGCACGTTTAAGCTTCCCTTGCTTCTTACTTTATCTGAGGTTTTGAGTAATAAATACACCATCGCATCAAGGATCTAAAGGAAACACCATCCTTGTTTTTTATTCGAGTAACAAGAACATTACCCCAGCACCGCAAAGGCTCTTACCCAATGTCGGGTAAGTGGGGTCCAATGTACGCAAGTAACGCAACCTCAGGAGCAGTAGTTTCTAAATGACCCATGATGAGTGTCGAAAGTTGCATTGACTAACTCTATTTCACTATTAAAAGAACAGACAGTTTAAAGAGACGTTTTACTCTATTTCATCATACCCCAAAGCCTAAAACTAATGAATCTTTGTTTTATATTGGGGAAGATTGTGTATAACTTACCCTCATACCCTCACCGAGTTGGGATTATACTGGGTCGTTGCTAAATATCATATAATGTATGAAATCCCACAATTGTACCAAAATCATGAAAAAGAACTAAAGGTATAATATTTTAATGAAGATTTTCAAGAAAAACTAATATTGACTATCAGATTGACATAGATAATATGAAAAGAAATTAGAACAAGGTCTTTCAAATGATGTGTATCCATGTTTTAATTTGCAATTTTTATGTCGAATATGATAAATGCTTATTGTTCACATAATTAAAGCTAGAAAAATTGTTTGTTGTGTACTTTTAAATTTATTTTTAATAAAATGTTATGGTTTACGCTTGGAACCTCATGATTGATAATCAAATTGTTTACCCTTTTGATTGAAACATACGACTTTAATAACCTAGCTCTAGAGAATTTTTTTTCTTTATCTTTAATTGGACAAGATCTTCATCCAGTTGAAGAAACATTTAATCTTAACTCTCATGAAGAGTGGTTCGAAAAAGGATGTTGTTTGCATCTCAAAAGTCAAAAGTTTCAAAGGGCGTATTTTGAGCAAAAAATGTGTAGTGGTTTATTGCATTTCAATGTTTCCATCAGATTGTGTGATCTTCTTCCCACTCCATGTTACATACTCCCACTCTCTCACAATTTTTTGGGACATTGGGTGTGACACGAGAGTTAAGAATAGTAGAGTTGTGTGATTAATACTGATGTTAAGAGATAAGAAAGAGTAAAAATGAATGTGAGCCACATGAATATTACTAATTATGGTATAGGCCAAAAATAGTGGGGGCCAAAGTAATAAATTAAGTCATTATTTATCCTCAATAACTAATTTCGTAACTAGTTAATCTCTGTGTTTTTGTCTAGTTTGAATATTTTCAATTAAACTACTAAACTAGATAAACTTTGATCATCAATTAAATAAAAATTTCATGACATATTAATACAATGAAATAATATTTTGAAAGGACAAAATAAATCTAATGAAATTATTCTTATTTACTTAATTGATGATCGAAGTTTATCTAGATGACTGGACAAAGTTAAATTAGACATACACCGGGACGATGGTAGTACATCAAACTCCTTATGTCCCAAAACCAACTTCACACATCAATTTTTGTTGTCCCAACATCACCTTCCCGTTACCTTTTCGGAAACTTTAAACTAATGAAAAGAAACTTTCACCCTCAATAGCCAACATTGAATTCTACCCCACAACTTAGTAAATATGTATTAAAGTTATTTTCCCAATAAATAGCACTTTTTACATGAGAATATCTTTTTAGGATTAATGGAGTATATCCTAATGCACCCCTTTATGATGTTCCTCACTTCCTCCTCGTGTCTTTGGTTCAATTGTTTTGGCCATAATGTTTCTCAAATGTGTCTATTTTTGTGATTCTCATATTCAAAAGATAAATGAAAATGGTTCCAATCAGATGTAATGGTTCCCTATGGTTAAGTTAGGGTAATAATATTATGTCCGCAAAAAGAGTCAATGGAAATACATGAAAAGATTCACATAGGTTTACCTCAACTCATTTTGCAAAACAAGAACCATCATAGCAAATTTAGACTATGAATAATCTTAAATCTACTTCCTCTGTCCCATAGAGAACTTCAAACTTCCTTTTTTCGGATGCCTTAAAAGAAAGTTGGCACTTCTACCATTTCCTTTTAAAGAAAAACATATGTGATTCATAATATCTCTCTTTACTAATGAAATTTCAGCCATACAATGTTTGCTTGTCAACACTTTTCTTGACCTCCGTAGAGTCAAAGTGTGAGGTGATGGAGCATTATCATTGTGAATGAACGGCCAGTTCTCTCATTCTACAAGCAGATAGCCACAAATTTCCAATTTCAAATTCCAAATGCTTACTATTTACTCACATACAACAAAATTTTTGTTTAAAATTAAAAAGAAAATGGGGGTTTGATGGTTTAAATATGCCCAAAGGGGGTTTGATGGTTTAAATAGAAGTTCAGATATCAGACCTGCCATGCGTCGATGGTGTGTTGAAAATCCTGAAGCCATCTGTCGGCTTGCATACGGACGCTGTCATCAGGGTGATGGTACAGTGCATTTAGGGCTTCCTTTACTGTGTTCTGGAGCTCCATCTCGAATCGCCTCCCTCCAATTCCAAACCCCTTCTACTTCAAGCGTACAAACAAATACGCATTCGGACACAATCTCAGTATATCTGTATGCAATTTCTGTATCTAATTTTCAAAGGTGAACTCGCTGAGGTGAAAAGAGTGTCTTGTTTCGGACTTCTACAGGGTTTTGGCGCTTCCGCGTTGAGGGGTTACGATCTGATTCACGCGTTGAGTCGTCCAGTTGGTTTTAAATTGTAATCAGAATTGAATTTCTTTGTAATGTAATTATGGAATAAAATGAGGGTAATCCGTTTTGTAACACGGTATCTGTAACACTCCAATCTGTATAACCCGAATAATGGGCCAGTGAACGGGATTGCTACCAATTTGGGATCCTAATTCAATTACTTTCAAAGACAATTGAAACAATTATCTTAGAAATATAATTTAACATTCATCGGAGTAATAATAAAAACATTTGCAGAAGCTTAAGTCATATCATCATTTAAAAAATACTTGAAAATCAAGCCCGTAAAAGTAATAAGTTATTAAATAATACTCCCTCCGTCCCAATTTATAGTGCCTGTTTCGGTTTACGATGTTTGACTGAAATTATTTTCAAATCATTTTTTATGACAAATGGTATAGAATTAAAAAATAAAAATTACATATTAAAATACTACATCAAAAGATCTACAAAACTAGTAGTAACAATATTACTTTATTTTATCAAATTGCTAGCAAAAATAGAGAAAGAAAGTGAATAAAGTTTGACCATGTGAATAGCGAACATGCATTATAATTTGGGACGGATGGAGTATGTAATAATTCAAAATCCTCAAAGACATCCACGCACATCTCCTCATCTGCATCGCCTTCCAGGATTGGCTCTAAGTTCCTAATTTCCTGGATTATCTACGTGCAGCAAAAGAGCAAACGCAACACACTTAACATTGAAGTTAAGTGATAAATATCAAACATATAGTTATACACATAGACGATCTGACTAGCCCTTATCATCATACAATATCATGCACAGAAATTTCACCACATCTATCTCGAACCGTTTACAACGAAGATTTAACGGTTATATTCTACCGTTCCCCCAAAGATTTCAAAGACTATCCTTGAACTTTACCCAAAGATTTATACGGCTATCCTTAACCGTTACAATGTGAGAATTTTATGGTTATTCTCGACCAGAAGAAAGTGTGTTTGAAAAACACAAACAAGAATTCTACACAGCGGCTAGAATATAAAAATGAAAAACAAAACTTAGCCAGTGTGGAAGAAAATTACTCTCTCAAAAATATAATATAAACTTATCAATATGAGAGTATATAACTAGAAACACAAGCTCAAAGTGTGTGTATAAAAATCAAGAATTTAAGTCTCTTGAAATAGGCAAAATGTTGAAAATAATGAATAAAAGAATGAACACACTTAGAATATAAAGGGAAGATGTTTGGAGCTTTGTTTCTTGTTGAAATTAAATATGAAGTACTAGGCCTATATTTATAGTGCAAGATGTTAATTAGCCGTTGATAGGAGGTGATAAGGGTTGATTTAATTCAAAAATCAGCAATCAGGAATAGTCTTCCAACGGTTACAGTACCTTGTCACGGTAGCTAGGTACCATACGATAGCTAGGTACCTTCAAAGGCCAAAACTCTCTGGCGGTATCTGTCCTCTTACGGTACCCCTTCCGGTAGGGGGGTCCCGACCTGGCGGTAGGGGGTCCCTTCTCAGATTGACTCACGGTACCCTTTACTGTACCCCTCACAGTACCCCTTACGGTACATAGGCACCTGTTCACCATTTTGACAATTTTTTTCATTTTTGTCCAAATCGTTTCCAATTTTGGTTAAAACCTTTTGGATGTTTGAAAATGATTATAAAAGGGTTTTAAACATATTTTGTGAGTGTTTTTCCATGACTTTGTATTTAAATCTTTATCTTTATATATAAAAAAGGAGAGTTGGAGTTCCAGAATTAGGACATGTGGCATGCTGACTGGACTTTTTTTTAACACATCAATAGACATGTCATCAAGAGCATTCACTCAAGATTCCTTTTACTAATTTACAGAGTATGATATAATAACATAAATTATGTGACATAATAAAATTAGTGAAACATAAATATAATATTGCATAAAATAAAATTGTTAATGGAAAAAAGAAAATCTTCTTCTTTAAATAGAAAAATTTTTGGCAAAATTTTTACTATAATATTTTCCTCGGATTCTAATTAAGCTTAAAAATCAGTCAATAGAATAAAAAATGAAATTAAATAATTTTTATAGAAAAATTAAAATAAATTAAAACAAATTAAAACAAAATGAGAGCTTTTAACAATTAGTAATAATATTTTGATCTACTTATTATTATAATAACTTTATTTAATACGGAGTATAAAATAAATATGATATTCCTTCAAAACTAATATTGACTACTGAACTTAAAACTAATAAAAGTTTCTCTTTATTTACAACATAACTTATAATGATATATAAGATACTGACTTCGCCTATATATCAATTTCACACATATTTAAAACTATATTAAAATATTTATTGTCGAGCTTGACAATAATTTTTAGAAAGAAGAAAAAGTTGAACACAAATAGATGATTAGTTAATTTACAATATACTTTTTCAGTGTAAATTTTAACTTAGTGCAGATTTAAAAAAAGTAAAATTTTTTTCTAGGATGGACACAATATTATTTTGAATTCCTTACTTATATATCTAACTGACAATGAGTTAAATTGCTCACTTTTATATCCAAATTTATGAAAACTATTATACACTTGGATCAAAATCCTATTATAAAAAGCGATATATAATGAGTTAAAATGTGTCACCCACCACTCATTTTCATTTTCCATTTCAATACATAGGCATTCAGAATCAATTATGCAATAAAGAAGCGGAGAATCTTTAATTCCACTTCAGCCTTTTGTTTTTAAAAGGATTGGTGGTAGGAGCATCCTATTTTTCAATTTCAATTAGGGCTTTGGAAAATCAAGTTCACGATACATGGACGAGATCAATTAGAGATGCAAGAGAAAGAAGAGAAGGAATACTTCAACAAAAATAGGACATAGAAAAGGTACGTACTTTAAATATTGTTTTATCTTAATATATTTAACAAATTCTCCATGTGAAAATGAATTAAACGTCGTTCATAGGTTTCATAGAAATCATGGATAATTAAAATGTAAAATTGTTAATTTATCTAGGTATGCATATAGCTCACTGATTGTTTTTTATCAATTTTATATTTACATCAATAGGAATAAAATCATGTCTAACCATGACTCTTTAATTTCATTTTTCTATATTTTTAATGAAAAAAATAGTTTATGCATATTGAATATTTTAAACAATTGTATAGACGAATATTAACAAAGTTGAGTAAAAATATATGCATATTTAAAACATTTTTTAAAAAACCCAAAACTTTGCAATAAATTTGATATGAAATGGGTGAATATAAAAAATGTGAGTACATATTTTAAAACAAACTGATATGCATGCGGGGAAAAAAATATATGCATTGATACGGAATGATCAATGTAAATAATTCAAAGTTCAAATATAATTTTTAAATTGGAAAATTTACTTATATCTAACACATAATTCATTTATCAAAATGACAACTAAGCTGTGTTCACTGAAATAATTGATACTCCATATATATATATTCATAGTCAAAGGAATTTACCTAAATAACACTAAAACATAATGACTTTCCCTAAATAGCAACATATGTTTTTTATTTCATAATGTAGCACTTTTAGTGATCATCAATTAGTCATTATTTAGATGAAAATGAGTACTTGAGTTCTGATTCTTCGTGCCAAGCAGATGCAGATGTAGGTGTTGATGTCGATTGGATAACAATTGAGTTTTTGAACGAAATCAAATGTTCGGGAATCCCAAACCACAAAATAGTCTAGAAAAAAGGGGTATGGATTATGCTACTGAGGAACATTGACCAAACATCAAGATTGTGTAATGGGACAAGTTTAATCGTTCAAGAGCTGCAAAATAATGTTATCGGTGTAATTGTGATTTCGGGAAATTGATTTGGGGAAAAAGTTTACATCCCTAGAATGAATTTGAAATTTTGAATATCCAGGCTTACCATTGAAGTTCCAAAGAAGACAATTCCCGATCGCCATATGTTTTGCTATGACTATCAACAAAAGTCAAAGTCAAACATTGTCATTTGTGGGATTATTTTTAACCAAGTCAGTGTTCACACATGGTCAACTATATATTGTTGTTTCACGAGTGAAGACAACGATAGGATTAAAGATATTAGTTGTGGATGATAATAGAAACCCTTGCATAAATTTCTTTCGACCCCGTGCATGGCACGGGTCAGAATACTAGTTAAATTGAAATTGTAGAGTTTAAAGTTAAAAAAAGTTAAAAACAACAACTAGACACTGCAAATCTGCAATGACGCCCGACCAAGCCTAGCGTCCGGACACTCCCACAGACCCTGCAAATCTGCAATTGACATCCGTCGTGTGCCGCTCCTCTAAGGGGCACGACAATTTCCTCCCCTTCCGTTTCAAATGTCCTAAATGCTGAGGCTCAGTGAGACTAAGAAGTGAACCACTTGTTTTGTATTCACAAAGAGAAGCATTATTGTTCACACTAAGACCCGGCCTGTTATTCAGATTGGAAAAATTAATTTCTAATATTTTCCAACTCTTTTTCTAACAACGGCCTAAAAAAATATTTATATATGATGGATATACCACATTTTATATCTAAATTTATACGGAGTAAGATACTACCTCAAACACGGACAAAGATGATATTTTTTTATTCAAAATTAAAGTTTTCTTACATATTAATTTGGGGATCTTTCACGAGTGAATTTTTAACACTTAAATTCTTCCAATATTTTCCAACTCCTTCCTTCAACTCAAAAAAAAACAAGGCCTAAGAATGTTCTTTGGGTGATGTCTGGAAAGGCTTGCACAGATACATCACATAAACAACAATTGCCACTATCAAATGAACACAAATACTTTGTGTGCCTGAGAAAAAAAGGATATCAGATTGATGGATCCCCACAATTATAACGCATGAACAAGCTAGTCATTATTTATAGGAGTAAGACAGTTCTACAAAGAATTCACCATATTTGTTTCAAATGTGAAAATCATCATAAGCACAGAAACCTTGATAGTCTAGGCTCATGCTATCACAGCATTTAAACGCACAAAAACACTGTGTCATTAGATTTCAAGAGCAGAATAATACGTAGTACTACGTAATAGTTATCGTAACAATAATGGACATGTGTCATAGTATGACACTGGTGGCTAGTGTCATTTCTACCAGCCCGGTCTATTGTATATAATTATCCCTCTGTATTTCGAAGAACTTAATGCTCTTACTTTGAGAAGGAGAATACTGAAGGACAATCAGCAAGTTGGGTTGGAAGGATCACTATCATCTTCAAAACAGTATTGGAGTCGACTGATGGCACGAAACTAAGTGTCATTTGATCGTCTAAAATTAGCGGACACTAATTTCATGCAACACAACCAAAATCATAGTGGAACGAACTATTGGTTCGGAAATGGAGTATATATGTTATGTTTTCCTAAGCATTCGTAGATAGTCAGATATTTCAGTCAAGAGTTTTATCCCTTCATCCCCTCTTTGTAAAGTCATAGCTGCACGCTTAATGAAGTCACTTTCTGCTTCGATCGTTCTCAATTTTTCTCTGATTGTTGCCACTTCTCTTGCAAGACAAACCATTATTTCTTTATTTCCTGGCAGAAAGGGCACAAGTTTAATGGTCGTCTATTCTTTTTAGTTATTACTTATTATGATTAGAATCAGATCAGACCAGATCACATAAAAAATAACTTTAAAATCTAACTGCAATCTCAGGTCAGACTAGAGCCAATCAGATCAGGTGAAGAGAACAAACCCTAAGTAGTCGAGCAAAAACATAAACAGAAAACAGAATTACCTGAGCCATTTTGTGGGTCTTGCTCTTCTACTCTATCTGATTTCAATTCAAGAAGAGATCCTTCGTCAGATGTCGCGTCTAATTTCTTTTCAAACTTTGACAACAATGACAAAAGCAAAGACCTCTCAGTCTCTAGAGATGAACTCTCCAAGCTCTCATTTGCACACCCTCCAGAATCTTCTGTTACTGCAGCAGCACGCTCATGATCTCTTTTGGCGGCACGGTTTCCAAAGTCTGATATTTCACTGAAGGGTGAGTTGCATTGAAATCTCGCCAACCGATAATCTTCATCTGCACTAACTTCACATATTTCACTATCTACTCTAAACATCAGTCCATTTGTGTCCCTATACATCTCAAGCTCAGATTCTAGAACCTTCACCTCTTCTTCTCTCTTTAGCAGCAAGTTCCTCATTACTTGCAATTCTTCTCGGTAGTAATCTGCATGTTCTTCCATCATTCTCTGGTGCTGCAAGGCTTCCATCTGAATGGCTGCCTTTTCAGCCTGCAACCGGGTGATCATTGCCATTGCGTTGTTTGCTGCAACGGCTGAAGCGCCCCTCTCTTCATCCAACTCCATGTGGAGAGTCATGAGAGCTTTGCGATCCAAAAGAACTTGCCTCTGCAGACGAAACAAAATGCCACCATCTCCTTCGTTCGCATCATCTTTCATCTCAGTAAGATCTGAGAGGACATCAATTGACATCTTTCTTGACTTCTTACTGCACCATCTAGGACTAGCTTGAGTTGAATCTGACAAGGGTATCCAGGAAAACTTGTTTACTCTGCTACAGCTCGGGGTTTTGCAAGCCTCCTCATGCAGGGCCCAAGATTCCGGCTGCAATGGCACTGTGGTAGATTTACTAGTCTCCCCACCACCTAAAGTAGAACATCATATAATTATTATGCCAGTTAATAATCTACCCGTAACAGAATTTCGTCTATGAGACCTCTCCAACTCATATGTCCATTGAACTGCATTGATGAGAGAAATCCTAAAGATGAGCTAGCAGCTAATCACAAATTAAGAATTGCAATAATTCACGAATCCGACAACAGCTAAGAAAAAAAGAATTGTAATATGAAATTTGAAACTAGCTAGACACGGGTGCAGAAAGAACCTGCACCTCCATTCAAAACATCATCGTCACCGTCATCATCTGGAAGTAGAGCTGAATCATTGTTCAATATCCACTTGAGCTTTTCAGCGCATGATATTTGGGATAAATCGAGATTGGGCATTTCATCCTCAGTATTTGCTGTCCAGGTTCGAGGGGTGTGGGGTGGAGCAATGGGTGGTGCTTTAACAGACTCGCTTCTCGTGTATTTCATCCTCCTCCTTGGGATCTCCCCACAACACGAGCACCTCTGTTGGCCTTCATCAACAACATCTCTCCTGCAGAATCTTGCAACTGTTCTGGGATCATTACTGCTGTCAACGACCAAGCAATTATATGGGTTGTTATCGTTGTGGAGAATCCCCACCAGAGACTTGTACCTGCTGTCATCACCACAACAAAACTGGCCATTGAAGGAGAGAAGGCACCCCTCGCACATGGTTCGGATATCCGAGAGCATCTTGTGGGCATGGCAATACGCGAGGGAGGAAATGTCCTTCATGTGGTCTTCGCAGACGGACCCATTCCAATAGGATGTCGAGTTTCTGTGAGCTAGGGAGCCATGTATCCGGGTGCAAAGGGAGCAGGGGGGTCCCAATTCGAAGAGTCTGGCGAATTCGGAGGAGAAGAAAGCCAGAAACCCGTCAAGGAGAAGCAGGAGGATCATTACGAATTCCAGAAGGGCGGAAATCAATGCAAGCCCATGTCTGCCCACATTCTGTTCGACGAAACACCTGAACGACAATGTTGTCATTCTGAATATGTCGTTGGAGGGAACAAAAGGACGACACACGCAACAAAGCCGAGGCAAACCCAGATCATGATCTTGGTGGTGGTGGTGGGAGGGTGAACCGCTGATGAATCCCCCCAGTCCATGGCCTCGATCCCGCTTTAGGTTTCGCGCAGTGTGTGGTACGGCCTGATTTGATCAATCATTGTTGGGTTGGTTCATTGAGACGAAAACGAGAAACAAGTCTTTCCTATCGAATTTTGGAAAGGTGCCAAAAAGGATCAGGTGGGGGGTCTCGAATCTCGATAGGAAATATATGCATGACATACAGCTTTAATTAGAAGCTCCACATCGAATGCACCAACACTGCATGCCTGACATTTTACCATAATCAAATGAACACACGCTCTCATAAACACACTCTTACACTCACATTGGTCCTCAACCACCACTCACTCCAAATAAGTAATCACTCCATATCGAATTAACCTTGAGTATACTCACTTTTTCACTCACTTCATAGATACAGACGTTGTTTCGGATAGGAAAAAATTTTGAACGTCATCAACCTCCAGAAAAAGATGGCAGAGAAAGAGAGGAAAACTTCGAGCTTTCAGACTTCAAGAAAAAAAAGAAGAGAATTAGGGCATGATATTATTTCTAAGGCAAATTTTATGGTCGACATACATATGAGCAAAATAAGCATTTCTTTATTACTTAAATAAACATTTATTTTTTTAAAATTAAAAATATAAAAAAAGGTTTTTAAGTTTTTTTTTTTGTGAAAATATCCACAAAAATAGAATGCACCCAAGGTGCACCATAGAAACGCTCTATTTCTAATTGATTACAATGAAAGGGTTACATCTCTAGATTACCCACTCACACCCAAAGTGCATCATAGAAACACTTTATTTCTAATTGATTACAATGAAAGGGTTACATCTCTAGCTATTTATGGGAGATAGAGAAATCAAAATGCTAACCTTAATTATGTCTGTTCAATAAATGCATCGATGTAAAGAACAAAAAATCTTCAAAAGAGCTTATAATTCTACTCACCTTAGAAAAACCAAATTACATTAAATATTAAATACTAGTAATAAATACTAACTAAAAAATAATTACTTAAATATCCTAATCTACCATGCCTACACTCTCACACCCTTAGAGAACCACATGATCCTCAAGATGGAGACTCCCACTCTTTATTTTGGATAGGTGAGAAAGTGTTGAACTAGAAAAAATGCCCACTTGTTGACCGATCTTCAAAAAGCTTGTTAGTTGGAGAACAAGGTACTCCGACTTCACTAGAACGAGGTACTCCGACTTCCCCCATATGTGTCTAACTACCTTCACTAGAACGAGGTACTCCGACTTCACAACATCAACAGGTTCAAAAAACTTGACTGCATTGTTGAACATAATTTAATATCCCCTATAGATATCTTTTTTATGTTGCTATCTTTAGGTTTTGATAAATGACAAACACATCAACAAAATTATTTTATATATCAAGAAGGCAAAGAAGCATGTCAAGAAATACAAGTCGGATAAACAATGTTCAATCCCTACGCAATTGTAGAAGTGAAAGTGAAGATTTCCGAAAATTTTTATTTGTTTGAGTCGTAGGAAATGTTGTAAGGATGAAAAAATATTTTTTAGTCAAAACAAACTTTTTTCCGTCATTGGTTATGATCTCGAGGATCGCAATATTCGATCGGTGGTTTTTATAATTACAATAAGGGTCCGTTTGGTATACGAAATTGATATAATTGGAATTAAATTGGAATTGAAATTCCATGGGGTTCAATTCCATAGAATTGAATTCATCAATTCCAATTCATTTTTTACATTATCAATTCCAAATCTACATAATTTTTGTGCTACCAAACACTAGAATTGGAATTAAAGTCTTCAATTCCAATTCAATAGTTTGAATTTTGTGTACTACGAGGCCTAAGAAAATTGATGAGCATGAAGAATTGATGTTATTGTGAAATCTTATAATAATGCAACTTTATACTCCCTCCATCCTAAAATTAACTTTCCAGTTTGACTTTTGCAGTCAAATTTTATAAACTTTAACCGTAGATTAAGAAAAAAATACATTGAATTTTCATATAAATTTATTAGCAATAGATTCATTTTGGAATATAGTTTTGAAATATATAATTTTTATAAAATATATTTATATAAAAATTGAGATATTGATCAAAATGTTGCATTGGAGACCGTGAAAAGTCAAATGGGAAGTTAATTTTAGGACGAAGGGAGTAGAATAATTAATACTCCCCCGTCTCTGAGTATTTGTTCACTCTAGACTTTTTTGGTCAAAATTAGTAAACTTTAGCCTCAAATTAAATAAAAATGATATTAGATATTGGTATAAAAATAGTTTTAATAGATTTATTATTTTAAATATTTTCAAAATATTATTTTATCTAATTCATATATAATATATATTTTATTTTTTATAGAATAAAAATTAAAAATAATTGATCGAAAAAAGTCAAAAAAACAAACACGAGATTAAAATCGAAACCGTAGGGGACTGCCCTTAATCCACTTCGGTTACGGTATCCCCCATTGGAAACGGGTGGTCCGTGTCCACATCCACAATGATCTTTGAAATTTTCAGGTTTTTTTTTATAGTAAAATTAGGATTAGTATTTTCTCAAGAGACGGCGGGACTAGGCAGGCTACTTTGACCCTTCCCGATTTTCCAACACCATTCACCTGATTTTCAGCCCTCCAACGATTTCAAAATTAAAATAGGACTGTCCTACACTCCTACTCCTACGTCGTTTTTTTTTTTAAAAAAACCAAACAGAAAATAAAATCACAAATAAAATATGCATTCTTCCTGGAACTGGAAGGCGACCGACCCAGAAAAACCCCATCATATTTCCCCTCTTCTCTCTCTCTCTCTCTCTTCAAAAGTTCAAAGTCCTACTCCGTTTAGTATTGTATATCTCCCCCTGAATCTCAAATTCTTTTTAAGTTGAATCCATCCATCAATTTCCGGCTCAAGCTAGAAGTGGTCTGAGTATTTTAGAGACATCAAATTTGTCTGGAATTTTGCAGGCTAATCTCTTTCTCGTTTTTCTCTTTCAGTTTAATTTAGAGAGATCAAATTAGTCCGGAACTTTGATGATTCGCTGATTTTTTTCTATTCAAAAAACTGGGTTCATATTGATGAACACCGGCCGCTGAAGGAGAGCTCCTTTCACCGATTGGAGACCTGTTATCACAAGCAATTGAAAATTATGAAGAGAGCTAAGGTTGACTTGGTCTTATCCTTCAGCCGGAAGAAGTTCTTGCAGATTTTGATTTTTATAGGAGTTGTGTATCTAATCATGGTGGGTCTAGAGGTACCCTTCTTGTTCAGAAGTGGGTCGAGTGTGGTTTACCAGGAGCGGTTTGGGAATGGGTACTTGAGTTCGAATTCGAGGCCAGAGGTGCTCGACAGCGAAGAGAGTTTGGAAGAAAAAGAAGCTCCCAACCGGCCCCTGGATGTTCCTTTTCGGGTTCCGTTTGATTCAAGGCCGGAAAGAAGGATCAAAGAGTTGCCGAATCACCCACTTTCCAACTTGGTGCTTGACAATTGCTACTCCAATGTGAGCAGGGAACATGGGTTTTCTGGGATTCTGAAGTCCGTTGAGGAGGCTATCAAACTGGGGAGGAGAGTGTGGGAGGAACTAGAGAAGCCTAGAGAAGAAACGGCTTCTGCGGAGAGTAGTAATTACAATAACAACAAAAACAAAGCACAGGAATGCCCTTATTCGATTTCTATGTCCGGGGCAGATTTTATGGCCAAAGGTAAAATGATGGTGTTGCCGTGTGGGCTGACCCTGGGGTCGCAGGTGACGGTTGTGGGGAGGCCGAAACGGGCTCACCCGGAGACTGACCCAAAAATATCATTGCTGAAGGAAGGGCAGTTCTTAATGGTCTCTCAGTTCATGATGGAGTTGCAAGGACTGAAGACGGTTGATGGAGAAGACCCGCCAAGGATTTTGCATTTCAACCCAAGGTTGAAAGGGGATTGGAGTGGGAAGCCTGTGATTGAGCACAATACTTGTTACAGGATGCAGTGGGGAACCGCTCAACGATGTGATGGGTGGCGGTCTAAGGATGATGAGGAGACTGGTATGGTGACTACCACTTCTTTGCAGTTTTATTTCATTGATATGATTTTTTAGTTTGCTTTGCAGCAATTATTTTGAATATTTAGATATATGAAACTTCATACTATCCGTTTTCTTTTTCTTCTTTTTTTTGGACAATGTTCCCCATGTCTGCGACAAAGAGGGATCTACTTTTTGTTGAAGTTGCAATTTTTTACTCATATAACCTTTTAATGGATAGAATTCGTGGGTTCAACTTGAGGAGTTTTGGATAATGGCAATTGCAACTTTCTCGGTTAATATTATATTGTTCCTGCACTGCAATTTGCTGGTTGTAAATAACATTTTGGCTTTTTACAGTTGATGGGCATGTAAAGTGTGAGAAGTGGGTTCGTGATGATGATAATAGTTCTGAACAGTCAAAGTCGACGTGGTGGTTAAACCGGCTAATGGGACGAACGAAGAAGGTGACTGTTGACTGGCCATTCCCATTTTCAGAGGAAAAGCTGTTTGTGCTAACTCTTAGTGCCGGCTTGGAAGGCTATCACGTTCATGTTGATGGAAGGCATATAACTTCATTTCCATACCATGTTGTATGTACCATCCCACCCTTACCTTATAATTCCTGATAAAATTTCAATTGAATTGTTCCTCAGGTGTTTTTTTTGGGTTCCTTAGGGATTCGCACCTGAGGATGCTACCGGTTTATGGTTGAATGGTGACATTGATGTCCATTCAGTCTTTGCCACTTCCTTGCCTATATCAAATCCTAGTTTTGCTCCACAAAAGAATCTCGAAATGTCAAACATATTGAGGGCTCCACCTCTCCTTGATCTACCTGTGGAACTATTCATAGGTGTTCTATCTGCAGGCAACCATTTTGCCGAGAGAATGGCTATTAGGAGGTCATGGATGCAGCATAAGCTAATCAAATCTTCAAATGCTGTCGCTAGATTCTTCGTTGCACTGGTAGGTGTCCTCAACACATTTTCATTTAGGGTGTGTTTGGTCAGGAGGGTAAAATGCTTCTAATTCTCACCCGTTCCTTCCATTCCTTCTCCTGAACCCCTCCAACCAAACACACCCTTACCAGGATCGAAATTTTCAAGTTTGGAAGTTGTTAAAGTTCATAATTTGGACCGTGTTTTGAACAGCATCCTAGAAAGGAAGTGAATTTGGAGCTAAGGAAAGAGGCTGAATTTTTTCGTGATATTGTCATAGTTCCATACATGGACAACTATGACCTTGTTGTTCTGAAAACAGTTGCTATCTGTGAGTTTGGGGTGAGTCTTTATTCGCTCGTTAAACCTTGTGTGATGGAAGAACGAATCAATTTTTTTTACCTCCACACATCCAATCCTCTTTCAATGTCATCTGCAGGTCCATGCGGTATCTGCTAAGAATATTATGAAATGTGATGATGACACGTTTGTGAGATTAGACGCAGTCGTCAAGGAAATACGTAAGATACCTGAAGATAAGAGCTTCTATATGGGTAATATCAATTATTACCATAAGCCCCTGCGAAGCGGTAAATGGGCAGTGACATACGAGGTAATTTTCAAACCGTGACCTTGAAATGCGAGTCTTTGGGAATTGAGGAATGACTTATTGATAGTTGCTTCTAGTTGCACCTCACTTAATGTCCATTGCTAATCGATCTAAAAGAGTAAATGATGGAGTAAAATCAAAATGACGCATTAAACGTACCTTTCTTCTTACTTTTGATGAAGGTTTTTGGGCAGTAAATGCCGAAATGCGTAAGAAAACCTTGACCCCAGACACCAACCAACAGAGTTGGGATCATATTTGTATTCGTCGTTGTACTTGCACTTCAGTTGCTTTTTCCACTATTCCTTCATGTATCGTATAAGTATATGCAAATTGAAGTATATTTTGGTGATGGGAAGCACCAATTGGGCTCTCAGATAATTCCACTCACACATCTTTCCCTTATTTCTTGTCTGATATAGGAATGGCCCGAGGAAGACTACCCGCCCTATGCCAATGGACCAGGGTACATAGTTTCATCTGATATCGCAAGCTCCATAGTGTCCGAATTTGAGGAACATAAACTGAAGGTAGGGATCGCCCTGCCCCCCCCTCCCCCACCCCCTAACTCCTTTCAGTTCCATACCATCTTTTAAATGCTCTAACAAACGGTCTATGCCAAAAACACGGTCGTTTCTTGTCAGTTGTTCAAGATGGAGGATGTGAGCATGGGGATGTGGGTGGAGAAGTTCAATAGCACGGCCGCGCCGGTGGAATACGTGCACAGCTTGAAGTTCTCCCAGTCGGGGTGCATTGACGATTACTACTCGGCTCACTACCAGTCTCCCAGACAGATGATTTGCATGTGGAACAAACTGCAACAAGGAAACCCTCAGTGCTGCAACATGAGATAACAGTTTTAGCTTAGGGGTGTTTCTCAAAATCTTGTAAGAAAGAAAGTTTACTACAAGTCCTTCCCCCTATCCCCTCTGTTTTTTTTTGCAGTTATAGACACGTAGGCTTGTAAATTTTCTAGTAGAACACAAAACAAAAACTCATTTAGGTAGTGCAGCTTTAATTCAATTTATTGTTTTTCCTGCCTGTGCTGTTACTGCATTTCTTTTTCCCTTACTATTTCACCCACCCATTTGCACAAAAAAAAAAAGAAGTCCAAATATTAAAAACACAGTAACATATCTTAAAGAAATTGTTGGCGTTGGGTTTCGGTGTAAACCAATTTCATATATTGATCCACCCTTCAGCTGACAAAAAATTTTAAGCTGATATTTGCACTTCACATTAGTGAATTGCACTCCGCTTTTTTGAAAGGAAATTTTAAATCATTAATTAACTAAAAGGTCCACAATAAGTTTAGGATGAGTGTCATCCCACATAGAACGATGTGTAGAAGCACTTCTCGCTAAAGTATGAGCAACAGAATTAAAAGATCTACAAATAAAACAAACGGATGCAGATTCAAAGGAAGAAAGTAAAACACAACAGTCTTCAATCAACAAACCAAGATATGAAGAAAAGGAGCCATGATCCCGTTGTTCAATAGCTGTGACCAATTGTAGACAATCGGAGAAAAGCTTGAATGCACGAATCCCCTTACCTTTCAACCAGAGTAATGCCTCACAACACGCCATGGCTTCTGCCATCAAAGGTTCTTGCACACAGATCAAGCGACCATTGACTGCTGCTCGGAACGAACTGTCTTCACCCAACAGCACGCACCCAAAACAAACCAAACCAGACTGAGGGAAAACAGTTGCATCCACAAAGCACAACTCTTCCCCTGTCACAGCACTGATGGGTTGGGTAACAACAACTGAGCTTCCACCCTTCAAAGAGGCAGCCGCGTTAGTCCACCCCCGTTGAAAAGCCTCCACCTGCACACAACTGTAGACATTGGAAGCTGCACCATATGTTCCCACACAGCTCTATTACGGGCTTTCCAAATTGACCAAATAGTCTAAGATATTGTCTAAAGTTCTAGGCTTGAGGTAGAGGAAGTTACCCCTTGGAACCAAGCTTCAAAAGACAACGCCCCAATTCGAAAAATATCAACTCTCAGAAGCACTCTGCTTTTTTGATAATATATACAAGTCGCCAATATTTTAATTTTTTTAATTAGAAAAACTTCATTGCATTGGAAAACCTGCTGTTCACAGTTGCACACCAAAATATTTGAAAAAAAATTAAACTTAACGATTGTTTTGTTACTAAAAATTTGAAGGTCTTTAACTTTGAATCTGATTAGATTTGTCTGAACTGCTCTGATCTAATCTAGTCTTATTGGATCTAATCTGATCTGATTGAATCTGATCTCATCTAATCTCATTAATTATGATTTGATTTAAAATTCAAATCAATAATTTGATCTAACTTTATAACAACTTTTGAAAATTGTAATGATAATTTATATTATAATATAATCAATATTTTTTATTTTATGATTATTTTTAATGAAATAAAATTAGTTAATTCATTAATTAGAATAATCATTCATATTATAATGTAATAATATTTTTTATTTTATGATTATTTTTTTTTATGAAATAAGAATATTGATTTAATATTTTAATAATTAGTTCATATATACATTAGAATACATTTTTAATTCATATATACATTAAAAAGTAATTAAATTTAGATAATCAATATAGAGAAGAGATAGTATTTTTATTAAAATATTTCATCCTTATAAAATATCTGTGTTAAGAAAAGAAATAATATATTTTTTGCATCTTGTATAATAATATATTACATGCTAGATGTGCTTGACAAAAAGCGTTGTATGCTATGAATAATACATTGCATAAAATGTTACACACTCATATTAAAAAATAATGATGAAAAGTGAGGAATAATGTGCGTTGAAATTATAATCGCACAAATAAATTATCATTTTATTTTTCTCTACATAAATTGTAATCGCACAAAAATTTCATTTTCTTTCTTCTTATATTTTTTCAAGAAAAATTAAATTTATTTTTTAAAAGAATTGCATCAAATGAAACAAGTAAAAAGTATGGAATTTAAAATAATAATAATAATAATAATAATAATAATAATAATAATAATAATAATAATAATAATAATAATAATAATAATAATAATAATAATAATAATAATAATAATAATAATGATAACAACAACAACAACAACAACAACAACAACAACAACAACAACAACAATAATAATAATAATAATAATAATAATAATAATAATAATAATAATAATAATTCTTGATTGGATCTCATCCGATCTGATTTGATCTGATCTAATCTGATCTGATTTTAATAAGAATAAGAAAAAAAGAAGAATTAATAATTTGAACGGAATAGGGCCTAAATATCATAATTGGTCTTTTATAACAGGATGTTTTTCATATTTAGTCCTCTATTATCAAATATTACCCATGTGGTCCTTTTATGAGTACCTTTCTAAAAGTAGTTTTTGATTTTCTGCCAAGTTAGTGTTAATTTGAAGGCTAACAATATAATTTGACATCTACCTTGTGCCCACTGATGTATTCTGATGTTGGTTAAATGAACAACACAAAAATAATGACTATGATTGTAGATTAGAATTCCGACGAAAGACCACATCTAAGACTTTAGTTGTAGTAGAAAGCAACTGTGGTTCACAAACGACGTATCAGGAAGTCAGGAACGACCTATAGAATTGTGTACTAAGATAGATATATGATCATTGTGAAATTACATTGATAGCCCTCAAAATTGTTGTGAAACAAGGCTTGGATAACGCAGCGGACAACAAAATTTTAGAGTCCAGAACTTGATTCCACCCAAGAAGAACATACGAGAATTACCTTAACGGTGAAAATGGAGAACGGAGAAACAGTCAGGGACGGTTTTGAGGAGATGAACGTAGCGCCAAACGTATGAAGCCTCCCACGTATCCACACGAACTTGCTCCGGAGTCCTAGATTAAACTTGTGCTATCAAGTTTAATATAAGATAGTAAAACTATAAAATTACTACTTTTGGGAGTAATAAATGTATCGTAAAAATATTTATCTTGGCTTTGTTTGGTAACAACACTTTCGATTAGCGTTAGCGTTTTGGATAAAATTTTAATGGTGCAGATTAGTTCTGAAAATGCTAACGCTAAAGGCTACCGTCGGATATCATTTTCAAAACGCCAACGCTAATCTCTGACGCTGATGCCAAACGGGGCCCTTATAAATATTTCTTTATAATATTTTTTGTATATCTCTAACACTTTAGAAAAATGACTTTGAACACAAAATAATATTTTCTCTCTTTTTTCTCTCTCTATGGACGAAAATTGGTGTGTCAAAAATGGGGAGTGATCCTCTCATTTTATAACATATTACTTAATGTAAAATGCCATGAAGCTTCCTTGAAACATTAAGGTGTGATAATGAGGTTATCAACATATAATGCCTCTAACCACCATAACAAAACAAAAGACATTTCTTCAAATCAAATATTTGATTAAACCAACAAATATACCATTAGGTAGAAAATCAAATAATGTCTTATATTTTTCCTCTTTAAAAATCGACACTCTCTCTTAAAATTGTACATCACATTTTATTTTGACATCAATAATTATCGTATAATTAAAATGATGAAAATAATATATATATATATATATATATACACACACACACACACACATACATACATACATACATACATACATATATATATATATATATATATATATATATATATATATATATATATATATATATAGACACACACACACACACACACACATATATATATATACACACACATACATACTTTTTGATTGCCACACTAGCACTACCACATTGCCATCTGTCGTTGCTAGCCACCTGAGTGTCGCCGCGGATCACTGATAGTTGAGTGATCACACTAACGTATTACATTGTCATCACTTCTCCATCACATTATCAACACATACTCTTACACTATACTGCCATTATATTTCTATTTTGGTCTTGAAAGACTTAGAACTCTTATTTTAGTATTTTCATACTTTTTTGCTCCTATGCAGGTAGATTTCTAATTAAGTTTCCTTGTTATTAAACTTCTTTTCATAGTAGGACTTGATTATTTCATTCTCTAGATATTTAAGGGAAGGTTTCTTGTAAACACAAGCACCGAATAAAAAACATACTCCCTCCGTCCCACAAAAGATTTCTTATTTTGATTTATAAGGGATTTAAGAGAAGTGCATTTTGGTGTTGACTTTTCAAAAATTTCCTTGGATGTGTTAGGTAAAAGTAGATGTGATGTGTAGAATAGTAGTGAAAAAGTATGATGTTGATGGTGTAAATATGGATGGGTGGGTTGACCGGGTTTGACCTGGACACTTGACCCGTAATATAAAACACACAACAAGAACACAAAGTATGACCTAGACCTGGTAAATCTCCTCAGTCCGAAATATATTTCTTACTTTGTCTCAAGAGTGTACTAGTTTTTTAGTGAGATAAAGAATGGATCCCCTCCTCTATCCAATATCATCATATTTATAGAGGATGATTTGTGACATTCCCCTGTTCATCCATGGACAAAATAGGAAACCCGGAGGAAGGTCACCGTACATAATCAATCTACTATTTAATCAATGAATTTAGCAACTATAAGCCAAGACATGTACTGTTCAATCAAAGACTATAAATGGATATTCTCAATCCAATCAGCCATGCAAAATGACAAACATTCCTTTTACTGTTTGCCTCGTGATGAACGAACGGCGGGGTGGTCCCTCGATCTTTGACGTGGTTCACCATGCCTGAGATACTGGACCAATGTTTGCAAAGTAAAGTGACATGACCGGTCACCTTCTGTCAAAGGTTACCCGGTCATTCTTTGCGCTCAACCCGTCTCTGGTCTTCTAGAATGTCCTTTGTAACATTAGGCGACATTTTGGCTATCGCCCAAAATGTGACCGGTCACTTTTTTAGTGGAAGTGACCGGTCAACTTTTGACCCGTCCCAATCAAAGAGTTAACCTCATTTGGTGATTGATAAAAGTGTCCGGTCATATTTTGACCTGTCCCTTTCGGTCATCCAGGTCGGGTATAAGGATATACCCATCAAGAAGTCCTCCACTTACCGGCCTTGTGAGGAAATCATCAAGGGCGGGAAGTATACTTGTGTTGACCTATCACACTCTGAAATCATCAAGTCACCCTTGCTGACCAGTCCCTAGTCTCTCCCATGACCTGTACTTTTGAATCATCAAGCCTTTCCCTCTAAGACCTGTCCTTCTTTGAAATAATCAAGTCATTCTCATTGACCTGTCCTTTTGAATCATCAAGCCTTTCCTTTTTCAAGACCTATCCTTCTTTGAAATCACCAAGTCATTCTTATTGACCTGTCCTTTCTGAATCACTAAGTCTTCCCATCAGACCTATCCTTCTTCCTATCATCAAGTCTTTCTATCTGACCTAGCACTTATAAAGTCATCCAGCCTTTCCTCTGAGACCCACCACTTTTGAATACATCAAACCTTTCCTTGGGACCTGTCCTTCTTTGGATTCGTAATAGTCCAAGCGCCACCCCAGACCTTTCAGTTTTGGAATTTCCCCCCAAAACCTTTCACCTTCCAAATTCAAATTTTGAATATCCCCTTTCATCATTACCTTCTCCACGTGTCAGCCCCTCAGCCTCCCACCTGTCGCCTCGAATTCCAACCCTCCTCTCTCTCTCTCTCCTATAAATACTCCTCCAACCCATCTCATTTCTTCACTTCTCTCCTTCGCTTCTCTTGATTGGCCCGGTCTACTTTCTCTTTCTAGCTTCCTACCAAGTAAGTCCTCCTAGTCTTTATTTCTTCATCTCTCTGTTCTTGACCGGTAAGATATTACGATGTCTTCCTCTGACTCACAAAATGTGTCCGGTCAGTCCTATGGGTCGGGCTCTCAGCCCTCATCCTCCTCCCACTCTGAATCTTCTTCTCCCCCTCTTACTCCATTAATTCGCCGTCCCTCCCAACAGTCTACCTCTCAGGCCCGAGAGATAATTGCCCAGGAGCCTGTCCCCTTGAACCAACTGCCCGGTCGGTTCAATCCCAAGGTCCTTAGTTGGGATCAATGGGAAGAACGACTGGGATCACTGTGCTTCTTAGCCCTTGATTTCAGACCAGTCTTCAAAGAACCTTCCCGGGTCACCAAAAAGGTCTTGGCTGAGGTCCGTTCTGTCCTCCCCTCAGACTATAAACTCCTCTCTAACATCACCTGGCCCAACATCATAGAACCTCACCAAGGTACCCGGATGGGTTTTCACATCGCTTCTCTGGAGGGAGGCATTATTTTTCCTCTCCGCCCTCTCCTTATTAAAATCTGTAACAAGTTTCATGTTCTTCCCGGTCAGCTTACTCCCAACGCTCACCGGTTCTTAAACTGCTTTGTCAATATTTGCGAAAGTTTAAAAATCAGCCCTTCTCTTGAGCTTTTCCTCCATATGTACAAGGTCTTACCCGGGGGTAGTAACTGTCCAGGCTTCGTCTATTTCCATTCACGCAACAAGAGGAGTTTTGTGACCGATCTTCCTCCTAGCCATAAGAAATGGAAACGAAGATTTGTTTTCATTGAGTTCCCTTCTGACCAATTCCCTTTCACTAACCCTGAATGGGCTGACCGGGTGGTAAAACCTGAAAGGGTTCACCCGGACCCCACTCCCGAGCTTGAGGACGCCTGTGAGAAACTTCTCAAGGGTGATCCTGTGACCGGGAAACCTTACACCTATGGAGGCTGGGTGTACCGGTTGTCCAACCCGGATGGGGCTATGTCTGCGACCCATGACGTAGAAGATGACCAGGCCAACTCCCTGGATGGTCATGCTGAGGGCAGTTCTCCTCATCCAGGTCGGTCAATCTCCCTTGAGCTTTTGATTTCAACTTTATTTTGTTAAGTTGAAAAAGCTTACCTGTAATGTTTTGTTCCGTTCTTGTTTGCAGACATGGAATTCACCCGGTTTGTCAACCTTGATGATGATGATGATGAAGTCCTCCATGGCGGCCAGTCCCCCAATAGCAACCCGCCTTCTCCTCCTCAAAACCCTGGGATGGAAGGGGCTTCATTTGCCCGGTGCACTTCCCTTGACGATCTCATCCGAGATAAGAAGGTGAAGTCCCCTTCGGCCACCCATCTCTTCGAGGATGACCGGTTTGACTCTCTTCAGGACCATATCAAATCTAAGCCTAAGGAGGCCGGTCAATCTTCTTCCCGTGCTAAGGGCCACAAAAGGAAAGGGTCCCATAAGAGTTCCAAAGAGGGCAAGAAGAAGAAGACCGGGTCGCTTGATCTGGAGGGGGAGTCGGTTGAAGAGGCCTTCCTTGCATTGACCAGAAGGCTCCAAAAGGTATGCCATCTCTACTTTTTCGCCTGGTTTAACTATTAGCTTGCTTTTTAACTGACAAACTTCTTTTCATGGTTGGAGTCCTTTCTGAAGAAATTGGCCAGTAACTCATTGAACCAACCAACCAGTCCCCTCAACTGAATCTCCTGCTTGAATCGGCCAAGTCAGAAATAAATGACCTGGTCGAGAGGGAGAGACGGTTAGAGGTAGAGCTGAGGATTGAGAGGGCCAAGCTTGAGGAGGAAAGGGCCTTGCTAGAGGAGGAGAGGGCAAGATCTGCTCGTTTGGAGGAGGAAGGGAATAGGAAGGTTGCCGAACTTGAGGAGGCGTTGGCCCAAGTGGAAGAATCTGCCCGGGCAAAGGAGAAGTCTTTTCCTGATGATGCTGCGACTTGGGCCGCCTGCCACCACATTGAAGTTGCCCGGTCCATTCTCACCAATCCGGAGGACACCATGGACTTTTTCAAAGTCATGTATCAGGAGCCGGAGGGGAAGAGAATGATTACTGACATTGGGTCTTACGGGTTCTAGTGTGGCCAAAAAGAGGAAAGGTCCCTCCTCTATACAAGGCTCCAGAAGAGGGATCCTTCATTTGACCCGGTCAAGATGAAGCTGCCTACTTTATACAAGGAAGAGCCAACCCCCCTTTCCCACTACAGTAGGTTAGGGTATTTTTTCTTTTTGAAGAAACTCTGAATTTTCCCAAGGCCTGGGGGATGTCCGGCCTACTTTTGACTTGTATGAAACTTTAATTTTCTTGACATGCCTTTTACGTTTACCGGTCTATTTACTTCAATATGCATGGTTGAACCTCTCTTCTTATATGGTTGTCCTGGTTGTTTTCCTTGCCTGGTCATCTTTGAAGTTGCTTGGTTATACTTGCCTTTTCTTTACCATGCTGGGTTGAACTCCCAAGTCAATAATAGTACCCGGCCATAAACCTTAGGAATCGTTTAAAGAAATGTTCAGGTCATCTCACGTCCTGGTCTTTAAAACATCCAGGTCTAATCGGCTTGGTTGATAATTTTCTAGTACATGCTTGCTTCCAAGTTAGCAAAAGTAACCGGTCTAGTCATGGTTATATGCCTAGGTTTGGTAGTCCATATTGAAACTTTTACAAACGTCCTGGTCTTCCTATCTGGAAAATATCTAGGCCTGGTGTGTTTTTGTAGCGTCCGGTTCTAAAACGTCCAGGGCACCTCACGCTTTGGCCAGTCTTATGGGCCGGCTTGCTGCTAAGTTGAGCTTCAACAAATGTCCAGGTCAACTCATGTCCTGGTTAGTAGGCTAGGTTGAAAGTTTTGAAGAGCATTTTAGATGCAAGGCTTGAAAACTTCCAGGTCATCTCATGTCCTGGTCTCTAGAGTTGAAAACGTCCAGGTTACTTCGTTCCTGGCTTGTCTTCTGATCCGGATAACTTCCAGGTTGAAAAGTAACAAACGTCTAGGTTGAATTTTGTCTTGGTCCAATCCCAATGGCTAGGTCACGTTACATCACCAGCCCTGCCTCAAATTTCTGTCCAGGTGCCCGGTCAAAAATGTGACCGGTCAAAAAATATTTTTCCAGACTTGTCTAATTTCATCAAATCCGCCAACTAAAAAAGTGACCGGTCACTTTTCTCAAAGTTGACCGGTCAAATTTTTCATTTTTCCATTCGCCATTTCTAGTCAATCCAGAACATCAAGAAGTGACCGGTCACTTTTGACCATGCCCTCTTCTTATATCCATCTGGCCTGTCTGTCGTGTTCAACACCGACCTTGATCGAACTTCGAACAAATATTTCGAAATAGTTTTTACTTCAAGTCTCAACATCAAGACCTGACCCATCTTTGGAGATTTTGACCATGTCCTATGATCGCGAACCCTCTCCAAGGTCCAGCCTTCTTCCAGGCAACACCCTTCTTCCAGGGCCCCTCTTCCAGGTTTTAAGTCTTTTAATGTGCCATTCTCTAATTATTAGGTTGACCTAATAATTATTAGGGCCATCGTCTACTTCTTTCTTAAACGCTTCTATCTCAAGACTAGAAGACTTACATGAAGAACAAGGTGAATCATTTAATTTCAAATTAGTCTCCTCAAAAGTCTTATTTTCAATTTTGAGGGAATCAATTTCTTTTTGCAAAATATTATTTTTCTTTTGCAAAAGGGTGATTTTATATTCCAAATCTTTGGCAATAGATGAGACTTTCTTAAATTCTTTAAATAAATCACCAAATGCTTCTTGTAGTTCTTCAAAACTAAAAGGATCGTTAGAAGAACTTACCTCTTCGGATTC